CACTGATTTTAAAAAATATGAATGACGATAAATAAGATTGGCAAAATTCCATATGTAATTAATTAATTGTTACCGACCGAAAGTCTTTAATACAGTTGCATCATTAAATGAAGAATCTGAATGACACGTCAGACCCGACTTGAATACACTTGCAATGAGATCAAATCCAAGATGATTCACATCAATTGGAATTTTTCATTTGTATGTAAATACTTGACTCCATTTCCACTTTTTTTTTTAATTTCTTGCCGTGTGTGTCTATGTGAAAAATTATTTTTACAGAAAGTAAAGGAATTTTCCCGACATTTCATTCCTCTCTGCCTCTATTTTACACTTTGCTATATTTTTCTACTGATCATCGGTCTTCTACTCCGCACTTTTAAGCTGCCTAAATTTAGAGTCGAAATCAAGGTTCGATTTTCTCAAACATTCGATCCCAATATTAACGTCGAGTTCGTATCTGTCTGCGATGCGGCTATACACTAATGTAATCTACATGTATATTCATTTCATCACACAGCTGCGACTTCGTATTGAATAAATAAGTTGAAAATTAAAGAAAAACTGTTGAATTCGAATGAGGGAAAATAAAAAATAAAAAAAAACGGAAAGAAAATGACTCGCGAAAATTGCCGACGACTCGAGAAAATTAGAAAAAAATTGCCTTCATCAAATTGAACAACGTTCAGATCGAAATCGTTAGTCGGTTGTATAACTTGATCCTGAGTTGTTGAGTTGAGTCGTCCGAAGCAATCTATAGAGAACACACATCAGAATGGTGAGGAAGAACGAATTTTTTTTTTTCTTTCTTTTTCTGTAGCTTCAAATAATTATTAAATTGTGGACAATAAGTGAAAATATTATTCGAATTTTTTTTTTTAATTCTCTTTTTTTTCTTTTGTGAAATCAACAGGGAGACAAATTGAAAGATCAAGACATTGAAAGTAAGTTGAGATCCAGTGGATAAACGAGTTTTTCCCATCGATTATCAAAAGATTTGAATTCTGAAAGAAGCTGTCAAAAATTCAAGTAAAAAAAAATTCAAAATTGTCAAAAAATAGTTCAAGTTCTGAGTTTTTTTTTAAAAAAAAGTTAATAATCTCTTAGAATCAGTGAAAATGAATGATTCTAAGCATTACGCAATGAAAATAGTGAAGAAAGGAAACTAGGTCGACTAAATAGGACAGAAAAAAAAATACTTAAACCTGTCAAATTGTGTGAATTAAGCGTTAATAAGTTTAAAAATTGTGATCTAAATAGACACTAAATCATAAGAGTAAGAATTAAGAAGGATTCATTAAAAGTGGATGAGAAGGAAGAACGTGTGAGTGTTGAAGGAAAAAAATAGAAAAAATTTCATATTAAAAAAAAGTCGTGTTGGCCGCACAGATCACTATAAATAGCTCACATACAAAAAAGGCGAGTAAAAGGCCCTCGCTCGCGCGATTTGCTTGTAAAGTTTCAATTCATGAGAATGTCTAATTTTAAAAATATGTAAAGAAGAAAAAAAAATGAGACGCACACACAAAAAAAAAAATAATTGGAATGTTTATTTGAAAGCCAAAAAAGAAATGTTATGAACAGAATGTGAAGAGAAAGATTGAACAGAAGTTTCGTAATTCGCAATTCTTATAATGATAATCTTTGAGGAAATCCACAGGATTTAATAAACAAACAATGAATTAACGAGGAAATTTTATTTTAACCACTTTTAGACGCAGAATTCGCATTCGGTATCTATGATTGTGATGGCTCAGGAAAGGTCGATGCCTATGATATTCCAGATGTCTTACGTTCATTGAATCTTAACCCAACTCTTGAATTATGCGAGAAAATGGGAGCCACAAAGAAGCGTGGTGAGAAGAAACTCTCAGTCGAAGAATTCCTTCCAATCTTTGCACAAGTATGACATATCATTGACATATCCCAAATTGCACTTTGCTAACTTAATGTATTATTTGCATATATAGGTAAGAGCCACAAAAGATCAAGGAAGTTATGAAGATTTCATGGAATGTTTGAAGTTGTACGACAAAATGGAAAACGGCACAATGCTCTTCGCTGAATTGGAACACAGTTTAAAAGCTTTGGGTAAGTTTCCGTCCTAACAAGTGGTTGAGAATTCGATTCATGACGCAACATGATTTATTTATAAATTCTACCCTATATTTTTCATAGGTGAGAAGTTGAGCGACGATGAAGTTGCTGATCTTTTCGGTGACTGCATGGACCCAGAAGATGATGAAGGAAATATCTTTTATGCACGTATGTATCATAAGTCTATTTCTGTTTTTATCCCCTCGTAAATAACTTTCCAGGTGATATAATCACCTATTGCTACCTCAATATACATTTTATTCTTGAATCATCATCATTAACAGTCTTGATGACTGCAGCCTTTTATCAATCAAAAAAAAAGTATATTTTCACTCAATGTGCTGTAATTTATTTTTAACGTAAAGTAGAAAAAAAAATGCCCAACAAATACACCAATGCTCACGATACGTGAATAGCAAATAGCCGCTCGCAATGTCCTAAAAATAGCGCACCTTCATACATCTATGAAGTAGAAAATTATTTTTCATCTCATCTAAATCTGTCTGTACGATTAATGAGGGGAATGGCAATTACTATACATATATCCCTGATGATGATTACGCATTGAGATATTTTTTGTGTTTTTGCGAAAATACTTTTATTATAGCGTCTATTATGGTCTGTATGCAAGATCCCACATATAGGCACTTCTAGAACTCATAACTGGTGCGAATAATTCGTTTTAAATTTTTCAAATATTTTCAATTTTGTGAATATTTTAAAATATTAAGATGATTCCACGACTCATTGAGTTTCCTCTGATCTCAATCTCTGTTGATGACTTTCCACTAATTTACAACTGAATTGTTGATTTAAAAACTTAAAATTTTAAGAATTACCAAAAATAAACAAAAGAAGCTGCAAAATACTTTTGTTAATGATGATTGATGACCCAAAAACTACATTGTGATTAATTCAATATTTATTTATTTATTTCTATGTCTGTATCCATCGAATGTGAATAATTTATGTGTAAATCCATCAATTCCAATTTATGTTGGTCTATAACCTCAAAAAAAAATCAATGTTTGTGTCAAAAAATATATGTGTAAATAACAGCATTCTTGCAAAAGATGATGAACAACCCAATTGTCTACAAGAAGTAAATTACGTCTGCCAGTTCACACAACATCATCCATACTTTATAAAAACGACAAAAAATTTAATTATTTGCATAAAATTGATAAAAAAAAAATAAAAAAATTTTAAACTTTATTCGTAAGTGTGACTTTATGTTAAATTTATGTTTCTCTTTTATGATTTTTTTTTTATTTTTTGATGCCAAAAAATCTAATTTTAATCTTTTTTTTTCTTCTTCTTCATCTATACAGCGTTTCTCCGAAGAATGTGCGATGTAAAAGAAGAATAAGTTAAGACTAATTTAAATTTCATCTAAATCCAAAAACGACAACTCAATTTCGATCAAATAACATCAATCAGTTAAAAAAAACCATAAAGAAAACGACATAATGTGAGAGAGAGAATCAATCTGCTGCTGATATACCTTTAAATATCTAGAGATGAACAACCAAATTGAGGGAGTTTGAGCTTGATATGTGTGTGTGAAAAAAAAATATCTCGATGACTAGGCAATATTTAATTTTGCAGTTTTCATATCTATTGCCTTTTCATCCTCATAATATTATAAGTCATCACAAAAATATATAATTTTTTTTACGTAATTCACCTTTTCGAGTTTCAAAATTTCTTCAATTTTCGGACACAAGTTTTCAATTTAAGGATTTCTTGTTAAAAAGTAAAATATAAATAAATTTTTTGATAATTTAAGAGTTAATAATTAATAAAATGCAATAAAAAGTACTAAAAAACAGAAAAACACACGAAAAACACTTTTCACAACTTCAAATTCAATCAGATATTTTTGTTTCAGGCATTTTCTTTGGTTTTTGATTGTTTTGCTATTTTTGTTGCTGTGTCACACTTTTAATGTTGTGCAACACATTATGACGAAATTGTCGTGTCACAATGAGCGAGTTACAATATTTATTGACTTTTTTATGACACACAACTCACGCAACATTAATTTATTGTAGTTCTCATGTTGCGCAACAATGGTTGTATGTCATCCTGATGTTACGCAACATTTAAGTGTCTGATCTTGATGTTGCACAACATTTGAGTGTCTCATTTTAGAAATTAAATTTGTTTTGTAGCATCCTACTTGTTGATGCATCACGAGTTATAGAAAATTTTAGAATGATGATATTTTTAAAGACCCAAAAATTGGAAGTTCGAAAATAATTTCAAAGCTATTAAAAAAATTATTCGTGCTGTCCCTGGAGCTGTCTCATTAGCTTTTTTGCTATTTCCTCGATAAAAATCAAATGGAAATGCTAGTTTTGCTCAAAAGCTCAATATAAAAGGTGGATTGAACCAGATTGAACCTTTGTAAGGAACAAAAGCACAAACTAAAATAAAAGCTAATTGAAAATTTTATGAACGACCTCAAAGACTTCTATTTAATGTCCAAATCGTGAAATAGACAAGGAAACGACAATTAAATGCTTTCAAAGTCGTGTAGTGAATGTTGTGTATTTAAAAGCTACTGAATTAAAGCCTATTGTCTTCATATTCAAATAATGTGTTCCTCCAAAGCTTCAATTATCAGCTGCTAAATTTACCAAGCCTTAGCTGGAAGTTCCTCATAATTTTCACCAGATACATTAGTTCATTTATCGACCATTACAACTGCTTTACCTACAACAACTGTTATTCTCATAATTTTTTATGAAATGTGTAACATGCAGAGAAGTCATTAAAGATGGAATATATCCAACAGATTCAGGTTGTGGTGCATGCTGGCGATAAAGAAAAGGTTTATGTTTTGGTTAATAAAAATCGGTTAATTTTTCTGAATTTCAAAACAATACAACATTTTCAATAACATTTGTAAGGTTTTGAGATTCAAATTTCTGATTTCAGTTAAAAATTTATTTCCACGATAGAAACTTTAAACTTTATTATCAATTGAGGAACAAATAAGCATAAAAAACATAATCTTCATTTTTATAAACTTAATGCTGTTGAATTTGCGATGATCCAGCAAATGCACCAACGCCTTTCTTAAAAAACTTTGTAGTTGACGAGTTTATAAGTTGAACAGCTTGTGGATCGTGATGATTGACATTACTGTCAGGTTTATAAGAACAAATGCATTTAAATCCTTTGAGGTAATTCATTCTCCAAATTCGGACATAGCCATCGTCTGAGCTTGTAACAAGCATAGTGCCAGTTATATTCCATGTTACACGCCAAACTGTACAGAAATTATCATTAAATTGTGCAGCTTGAACAACTTCAAACCGAGTATTTCCAGACTGTTCGACGATAGGCTTTAGATTGAAAATGCTGACATCTTTAGAGGCAACAGCTAAAACGTGATAACTTCGTCCGACATTTGGTGCAAATTCAATTGAATGAACTGGTTCCGTGACATTAATATTTTCAGTTTTTGTCCATCGTCGATTGTACTCGCTATATTCAAAAACAAAGACTTTTGGTTCATTTGATTGTGCCATATCACTTCCAGCTGCAATCATTGGAGGATGCGCTCTAAATAGCGATGGATTCCAGCTTATACATGATAGTGGAAGTTTACAAATGATTTCATGCTGTAATGTCCATTGTGATAAATTCATTATATCTGGTGCTTCATATATTCTGATAATGCCATCAGATGAGGATGTAGCCAATACTAATCCAAGATTCTTAGGTCCAAACTTTACGTCAGTTACGCTAGTTCTTGAATCGACTAAATTGGTTCTTCTAATCCATCTTTTAGCAGGTGTCGAACTAGCTGTGGGCTTTTGTTCAGCTGTTTCTTCCCAAATACTTGCTGTTCTGTCAAAGCTTGCAGATACAATAACTGCACCAAACTCTGGATGAGCCCAATTTAACTTCCAGATACTTCCTGAATGTGCTTTCCAACTTGAAGACACAATCCATTGTCCTTTCTCATTCTGTTCCCATACTTTGATTGTCTGATCTGAGCTGCACGTTGCCATTCTCTAAAATTATTAATTATGTTATCAGTTGAATTTCATAAAATTGCATATTTATAGCTTACCTGTCCATAATAGTCATAACTACAATCATGGATGACATCACGATGTTCGGTATGAATGATTGAGTTCATTTATAAGACTGGAATTAGTGTATTTAGCTATTCAATTAAAGAAATATGGAAAGTTTCAAAAAATTATATTTTTTGCGCTTTGCCTTTGTTGTTTTGAGCGAATTGAAAATTTGAATTTTAAACCGTCGTTATTTTTACTAGTAAAAAATGTTTACAAGCGAATTCAAAAAACAACGTGTTTGAACATAAAATTGATTCCTATAAAAATATCCAAAAAAGTCAATTAATTAAATTAAATTCATCAATATGAAGCGATTAAATGATGAACAAACCAAAATATTCTTCGAGAAGCTCACAAAATAGTAAGATTAATGGATTAAATCCTCAAGAAATCATAAAACTCATAAATTAAATTTTACAGCATTGGAACTAATGTAAAACTGCTTCTGGATCGTCCAGATGGAACTTATTGCTTCCGAGAAATGAACAGACGAGTATATTACATGTCAGAGAGGATCTTAAAACTAGCAGAGAACCTCAGTGAAGAGCATTTAATTGCAGTTGGAACTTGTTTTGGAAAATTCACAAAAAGCAACAAATTTATGTTGCAAATTACAGCACTTAATTACCTCGCACCCTATGCACAATACAAAGTTTGGATTAAATCGTCAGCAGAACAGCAATATCTTTATGGTAATCACATTAATAAGGCTGGATTAGGTAGAATCACAGAGAATACGCCACAGCATCAAGGAGTTATTGTTTTGTCTATGAATGACATCCCATTGGGATTTGGAGTGACTGCAAAATCAACAACAGATTGTAAACTAGCCGATCCATTAATTACAGTATGTTTCCATCAAGCAGATATAGGAGAATATCTAAGATCTGAGGATACTCTTATGTAAAATATTTCTTTATTTTAATTAAAATACAACTTTTTATAAAAAATAAATCTATGAACTCTTTTTACTGGAACGGGATCTTGATGAGCTTGACGATGATGATTCCTTGGACTTTTTACTGCCTTTGCTGCTACTGTCAGATTTCCTTTTATCCGATTTTGCTTTCTGCTTATCTGATTCTGACTTTTTACGCTCAATTTCCTTGGCTTTTTCTTTATGCTTATAACTACTAGATGATGAACTTTCGCTTGATTCATATGACTTGACAGATTTTGAGGAGCCTTCCTTTTTCTTGCATGTTGAACAAACCCAAGAATTTTGATCAGCTTCATTTGGAATCTTTGTTGAATGACATTGCTGGTGCCATAGCTGATGACATTCAATGCATTCAAAGAGCTGATTGTTTGCAGAACTGTCCATTTGACGACATACAATACATGTCAAGTCTGTTAAGAGATCCATAGCAGATGAACTTTCATTGCCACTGGATTCTTCATCTTGGTCATTAGTTTTAATTATCTGTTGATTATCACCGATTAATGATGTTGTGGCTAACTTGAGCTCTTCAATTTTCTTCGTTTTATGCTTCTTTAACTTAAATCCACTACCTACAGCCTTAGTTTCTTGACTAATTAAAGTATCAACTTGTTTTTTACTCAAATGATTTTCAACTAATTTTGTTTTATCATAATGCTTGAGAATCTCAGTATTTAGCATGTTTCTCATCTTCTCAGCTGAATCTGGAGCTGATGAATGAAGTAACTTTATCGCAGCAATAAGATAGCTATCGTCCATAATTAATAAAATTGAGCTTTAATAAAAAATTGTTTGAATTCTAGATATTTCGGTTGTAAACAAAGGCAAATTGGGACGAATTCAAATTTAGCTACAATTTCAAATTTATTTTGACAGTTAAAACTAAAAGTTTATAATCTTAATTAAGCTAGGCATTTGCTTGATCATTATTTGTCAGATTCCTTCTCTTTTACATGAATTTTCTGCTCTAATTTCTCAAATTCATTTTCAGATAATTTATCAGCTTCATCCTTAACTTGTTCAACAGAAATAACTTCTGGGATATAAAATTGAAGCATATTCTGTACACCATTCTTTAATGTAATTATAGAGGATGAACAGGTGCTGCATGATCCTTGTAATTTCAATTTTACTATTCCATCTTGATAGCCAACAAATAAAATATCACCACCATCCTCTTGAACTGTCGGTCTAATACGTGTATCTAGTAATTCCTTAATCATTGCCACAACTTCATCGTCTTCCTCACCAATTTCTGTGACTGCATTATCCTTTCTTTCGTGAACAATTGGTAAGCCACTTGCAAAGAAATCCATAATTACAGCAAAGATTTCAGGCTTTAAAACACCCCATTCAGCCTCTTCCTGCTTTGTGACTGTAATAAAATCTCCTCCAAAAAAGACACTTCTTACACCTTCAATTCTAAAGATTAATTTAGCTAATGGCGATATCATAGCATCTTTTGACTGTGGAAAATCCATTGTATTACCTTTTCCTAATACATCTTTACCAGGAAGGAATTTTAAACTGTCAGGATTTGGTGTATCTTGTGTCTGGATGAACATTGTGCGATAGAGAACATTTGATATTGACGGCAAAATTCTCTTTGTGATATTTTGTAAATTACTTCTGTTATGCGAGATAACATGATAGGATCTGTTGATGATGCTAATTTAGTAAGTTTTGTGGATACACTGATGATGTTTTTACTTACCTATGTCTAAGAATAGCCGTTAAAAATGGAATTAATGACCTTTGCATGATTTTTGTTTTGATTTTCACTTTTTGGAACTTTACAAATGTTTTGAATTCTTGGAACTGTATAAATGTTATTGAATTTGAATTTTGAAAAACCGTTAAAATCATGAATTTTTCAAACGCAAGTTATAGTAAATTTTAAATTCTAGGAAAATTAATTTATGGTTCTTGGCTGGATATGCATTGATAATTATAAATGAAAATTAACATAGTAAAATTGAAAAAAAAAGTTCGTGACGCAAATTGACCACACACAGAATGCAAAAAAGGCACAGAAAGTGAACCAGTGCCAAAAAACTATAGCAGAGAAAAATTGCATAATTATGGGAGGTCCCCAAAATTTATGTAAATCTCAAGTAGCAAAGGAAAGAAGAAATGAGAAATTAAGAATTTTCCTTTCACCACACGACAGCATCTACATGATACTTGAATTTACATGTGCCCATAAAAAATTTCTTTCATTCAGAACACAAATATTTACGACATCTGATCTTCTCCTTTTAAAAATTCTCATGCATACTCTATAGAGAGAAACAGATCATTTCACAAATTGCAAACATATTGCAGGTCAGACGAGAAGATCTACATAGTCATAAATTTTAAATGGCTCGACCTATCTCCTCTCTTATGGATTATACGCTACGACAGATAGAAGATTATAAATGACATTACAACACAAACATATTTGAAAATTTGTGTGTAAACAATTCATAAATTATGATTTTTTTTTTCTCCATTTATGCCATGAGAGTAAGGGCACTGACTATTATTATGAATATTATCAGACTTTCTTTAAGAAAACAGACCATAAATTTAAGTCACATGCATGGATAATATACACATTCTATTAAATTATGGAAGGGCATCAAAACGATACAGAGATTTGGTTTTCACATTAACTTTTTTACGGATGTTCACAGATTTTTTCATGAATCAACTTTTTTTCTGCTTCAATCTTCTCTCCTTAATCGAATTAATTAAGTTTTCTTGTATTTTCGCAAAGAAATCTGTGAGATTTTAATCGTTTTGGTTGTTTTAAATTAATTTGAGGATTTCCGAATAAAATAGCATGTTGATAATGCTTAAATCATGTTGAATATCACCTTGCTATTGTAAAGACGTGATTTAAGTTTAATTTTGTTGAGAATAAGCCTTTATTATAGCTTAAATTGCAAAAAAAATTTTAAATATGATAAATGTTGAGGGGAAAACAACTTTATTTGCACAAAATTTGCAACAAGTTACATTCTCAATTTTGAATCTTAAAAATCCATTGAATTTTATTAAATTGTTTGAAATAATTAAATGCGCTTTTCACAGCTTCATAAAGAGCCTCCTTAAAAAAATATTTTCCTCTAAAAATAATGATCAATAGAAAAACCTCACCTCATTAAATTTTTTTATGACCTCCATACTCATATTTACAACTTACTTACTCTGAAAACTTACTCCATATACACAAAAAGATTATTTTTTGAAGTTTTAAGCTTCTCCATAAAAATTATGCTACCGGTAATAAAAACTCTAAATGTTATGGACTGCTACATGAAGCCCATTTTCCTTTCCTGCAAGCCATAAAGTAAAGAATGCTCACGAAACTTATTTAAAATTTATTGTGTTCAAAAGAATGACTCGAAAATGTAAATAAAATGTGGAAAATTGTTTCCAATTGTAGGATCTTGCTTGCTGGGCATGGAATGTATATTTGGGTGACTCTCTGAGTGATATTTTAAGAACCTTGATAATTTTACTTTGATCTTAGGATATGCTTTGTTTTTTCAGTAATGTTCGATTGTAAAATGTTTTGGAGTTAGGTATTTACATTGGGTACTCGTTAATGATAAGCCTGTGACCCAGGCTTAACTTCAGTGTTGTGGATTGATACTGAAAATTTTCTCGGACACGTTTTTTCAAAACTTATTAAAACCTTGTTACTTAAATCTCATAACCTTACAAATTCAAGATCAAAACCTTACAAATTCAAAATTAAGATTAAAACCTTACAAATTAAAGAATAAAACCTTACAAATTCAAGATTAAAACCTTACAAATTCAAAATTAAGATCTTAAAAATTCAAGATCAAAACCTTACAAATTCAAGATTAAAACCTTACAAATTCAAAATTAAGATCAAAACCTTACAAATTAAAGAATAAAACCTTACAAATTCAAGATCGAAACCCCAAAATTCCAATTAAAATCCATTTAAAATTTCTTAAATCCTAATGATAGTTCCAGATTGACCCAAATCCCAAACTAATCCAAATGTGAATCGCCCACACAATAAACTATAACAATAATGTTGTTCTTGATGCATGCATTCATAAATAAATATAAAAATAAAACAAAAATACAGAAAAAGACACAAGAGCAATAAATTTAATAAAAGTGTGGAAAGAAATGTCCCGTAATGTTTCTTTTCTGAAAAATCCATAAAGGACATTAAAAAAAATAACATTTAAGACATGCATCTGCATATGAAATTTTCATTTATCAATTTCGATCGTCATGACGATTTTTCTCCCCTTGAAATCTCGTAAAAGAGATGAGAAAATGGGAAATAATAAAAGAATGGCTTGGGGAAGAAACAGAATAAATAGAAACAAATCGGGTTGCTGATTGACACGTGAGAGTTTTTATGAAACAACGAAAATTTTCATCTTTGATCATCCATCGTCATGTTGTTGAGGAAAAAAAAATCTCTTTTTATCATTTTCACAAATGCTACTTCTATCCTCCACAAAAAATTGCTAGTAAAACTAGCTTGGCAGCAAGTGGTTGGCTAAGACGCATTTTCTAGGACCTAATAGAATTAAAGAGGATCTTTCAAAGGGGGGGGGGGGGCTTGGCAAAGGTAATCAAACATCAAGCTTAGCTAAGCCACAGACAGACAAACAACCAAAGTACAACCAATAGCATCTTTCCCTTACCAAAATATGCTCCATAAAGAATTTAAAGTAGAAAAAAATTGCGAACCTCTCCTGCTCCTCCAGAGATTTCTGTAAACACATCATAAACGAAGATCCGCCAAAGACATATCTTATACTGCGTACGACAATAAAAGATCTTGTTAACAGATTTTCCTTTTATTCTTCTTCTCTCCTTTCATTTCATCATTTTGCATACAAAAGTTATTACCGAGCGGCATCAATGAGAAGTTTTTCCTTTTCGGTATCTGTTCTTCATGACTTGAGTTTTATGATGGCGTGGAACAGTAAAAGCTAAGCTTTATGTCTTGTCGGTTGATTTTGTTATGTTTGTTTTATGATGTGCTGAATAACTTCTAGTTAAACAGTAAGAGTATTGAGGATTTGCTGAGAAATTAATAGATTTGGATGCTGTTTTTGAACATTAATATTGGATTGGAACTTTTGTCAATTTAAGTGCTGAATTCAGGAATATCTTCTATTTATCTGTTCTGAATTCAGCTAAATGTTGCTTGATTAAGCTGAATGGTGCTGAATTCAGCTAATCTTTGTTTAATTAAGCTGAATAACGCTAAATACCCTAGCAGAAATTTACTAGTAATTTCCTAGTAATTTACTGGATAACTTTCCATTTGCTACTTGCTATTTACTAGTCAAAATCCAAGTTCAAATCATCGCCAAAGACCCGCATTTTCACTTGCTAATTGACTAGTCAATTCGCTTACAATTTAACTAGTAATTTACTAGCAAATTTGTAAAAAATTTAAATGAATATAACCGTTGATTTCCACGTGTTTTTTTGATTTTTTTATTTGTGTAAATTATTGTAAAAGTATTAGTGCGTACTTAGTTTAATTAATTAAAGTACACTAATACTACGAAAAAAAATAAAAGACTTAGTTAAATTAAGTCAAACACTGATGTACGCTTATGACTCGCACGCAAACCTGAGGAAGATAAATAATTAAATTGAATGTCTCATACAAATTTGGATCGAGCTTATAAAGGTGATTTCTGCGCGCTCTTGTGAAGTATATGGCAAATGCCAAATTTAGAACAAAATTTTTTATGATGCAAAAATTTCTTTTTTTGATGATTTTTCGTAGGATTCGAACTTAAGAAGATTTAATCAAACATTTCTCATGGAAATTTGCTAGTAATTTGCTATTAAATAGTAAGTGTAATTTACTAATAGTAAGTTGTTTTAATAATAACTAGTAAATTGCAAGTAGTAAAATAGAAAGACTAGCAATTTGCTAGTTAGTCTCGCTAGGGATAAGGTTACATCAATCTTATTACAGCCAAATTGAGCTTAATCAAGTTCAATAATGATGACTTAAACTTAAGTACTCCTTAAATGAGACCAAAATAGGGCAGATTTCAAATCGATTGCTTCATTTTGTTGCCATTCCAAAGCATTTTCCAACAAAATTAAAGAACATGTCAAGTAAAGTCAAAAATTTGCATTCAAAACTCTCATAATTGCTACTCAAAACGAAACCTTTATCTGTGTGACTCAATGACAAACCATATGACATGATGTTAAACTAAAACCTTAACTAACGATGTGGTTGTCAATCAAAACATGAGAATGTGTCTTGTATCCATATCATGTGATCATCTTCGAGATACATTTGACTAATTCTTCATGCCACTCATGCTTTACTTTGAGAAAGATAAAGGAAAAATGCCACACCGAGTCAATTGATCCTCTAATGTCTTTTTAATGTATCTCTTTTAGACAAAAAACGAGAAAATTTTAATTTTAGAGAACTGAAAAAAAAAATCAAAGGAAATTTAAGATGGATTGTTGGCAAAAAGTGGGATGGTCCAATTAAAATTTTTGGACTCATTAGCTTTGGCATTACTTGACTCTTTAGTCTATTTCTTTATTAATAGAATTAAACGGAAGTTTGCCTGAAATATCCAAAATATGAAAAAAAAATCTTTAATTAAATAATTCTCAAAATAAAATTAAGTTTATTAAGTATTAGCTAAGTTATTAAAATTATCGAAAAATATATTTTATTGCCAATAAATATTAGTCTTAAATCTATCTTGGTATATAATCCACGCGAGTCATTTGATGTCCATAAAATCCTTGATAATGACTTCCATAAACATTTGGGGTAGCTGGTGTTGGTACCTTATATTTATCATAAGGATTCGCGTACGGATGTGCATTGTGATGATGATGATAAATTGGTCCAAAATTACTGTTTTCTGTCCCATACGTCTGGCCCAACATATGTGAGGCTACAAAGTTATTTTGTGGATTTATTGCATATGCTGGCTGCGGTGATGTCGTCTGGAGTTGAGATGAAGTCAAACTTGTGATTGACAAGTCATCTTCTGTGGATGAAATAAAGGATCAAGAATTAAATGCTGGGATTAATAAACTTTATATCCAGGGATTAATGATTATTGTGTATTATTGTTTAAAATTTGCACAGCAGTCAAGCATTTATCCCTGTTTTCTTTCCTCTTCCTCGCTCATATTTTATCACTTTCATGTGTTGTGCAATTCTCATTTTCATCTCATCATTAAAGTGATGATTACAATTGCAATACTAAAGTGCGAGAAACATGCAAGTCACAACTGGAATTTAAGAGTCGAGTCGTGTCACAAATTGCACTTTTCACACTCGATTTCATCGTCGTCGGTGAACGCATGCAGAAAAAAATATTACAAAATAAAAAAAGTTTGAGAGGCGCGCACTTGGCTGATTGAAAGCTGAGTGATTTGATTTATTTCCATCATTAAATAAAGATTTTCACTTACTTTTGCTATTGCTACTAATATTGTTATTGTTGGCGCGATCACTTTTCAATCGTTCTGATGATGCCGCTACTGCTGTTGTCAGTCGTTGATCTTGTGAACTGGAAGTGACAAGTCGAAAAGAAAAACAAATTTAGTTTTAATTTCTGAGGTGATAAGAACGGAAAGATTTATGGATTTTTCAATTATTTATAATTTAATTAATTTTAAAGAGATTTATTTCCCAAAAGTGCCAGACTCTCTCAGATTTTCAACACATGGCCTTTCTTCTCTTAAAAACACTATCAGTCAAGTGTCGTCTAATTCATGAGAAAGCGATGAGAATTTGTAAACAAATTAACCTTTTTTTCATTTCTGGTAAGCAGCATGGCATTTCTTAGTAACTATTTTCGAAGATAAATAGTCTATAAATTATCTTTGACTGACTAATTTGATGAATGCACGAGCTAGTCATGAAAAATTGAGAAAAGTTTACGCATTTTGCAGTAATTTAGATAAATTTATGATTTTCGTAAGAATCTCTGTATTTCACTCCACTTCCTGGGATTTTTACAAGGCGTGGACACTCAAAAATATGCTGGGATTATTTGAGATTATTGGGATTAATACCAGTGTCCACGCCTTGGATTTTTACTGTTTAAATGAACTTGTTGAACAGGTTTTTAAGGATATAATCATTTGGGTTTGCTTTAATTAGTTGATATTAAAAGATATTGCAAATGATACGTAGCAATGTGTTTATTACGTACGTAAAACGTTGAACTCAAGTACTTAAATTTAAAAAGTTCGTCATAATTTCCTGGAAATAATCGTCAAGTCAGATCCGGTCATGAATCACGACTAATGCACTTTAATTCATCACCTACAGTGACTTATTTACTTACACTCGTTATTCTCTTACGTTTTCACTCGAGGAACAAATTTCCATTGCAAATGTAAACATTTCAAACAATTTTTGGAATGAAACAGATTAAGAGATCAATTTATCAGGGAATAACAACAAGTAAGTGCATATGTTTTATGTTTCAGAAGTTATGTTACAATTTTCTTCTTCTTAACACACAAATTCTGGAAGCAATATCTTTACCCAACTTTATTTGGCAATCTGTAAACAATTTCAATGCGATGATCATGTAAAATTTCTTCTTATATCTTGATTCATTAATTGTTTAAATTATTTCAGCAGCATTTTTAAAATATTTTTTAATCCCATTCATTATTATTATTATTTTCAACTATAATAATTGAAGAAGTTATGATTATGCGTGTGTGTTCTTGTGGGAAATATTGAATATTTTCGGTTCATATATCATGCATGTATGCCACGATTGTTCAACACATTGACAGCCATAAATTTGGAATGGCATCATAAATTATAAACTCGTGCTTAGTGAAGAAAAAAAACTCTTTTTTAAACAATTCTAATGAATTTATTTGTTCTAGTTCTGGATGTTTGGGAGATTATTTTGAGAATTTCATCGGGGATGTGCATATTTTGGAGGTTTGGAATGGGTAGACTAACTGGCAAGACTTCTAATTTGATTTTAGAATGATTTTCTTAAGGAATTTCTAATTTTAAAAATATGTTACATTTCTCAACTGCCTTGAAGTTGACTTCAATTACAAAAAATTCAAAAATTCAATTTTCTAACAGACATAACTTTTGAATGACTAGCTTCATTTTAATAATAATAATTTATTATCATCATCGCATAAGAATTTATATCTCTTAAAATAAAAATATTATTGCATTTACATCATCATGCCTTGAATGTTCTAATTTGTCTTCTTCCTTTCCATAAATTTTTCCTCTTCTAATTTTTTGTTTAATAACTTCTTACTTGTAGCTACAAAATATTCTTGAGCATCTACACACTATATTCTCTCGTCGTTATAATTTATGAATTTGTTGATTGATATTTTAGTGGCTTTACCCGATAATATGCGGCGGTGAAATGAATGTAGATTATTTTTGGATTCATGCAAGCATAAGTTAAGAGACTGCGAATGAAATTTTCTATTTTCGTTACTAAACAATTTCTTCCTACTTGTGACAATTTTTATTTTTAATTTTAAATATTTTAAATCTAGAATATTTTACTTTAATTAAGTGAGGAAATTTTGTGAGATATTTTGCATGAAATTATCTTACGAATTGAAATAATCGTTATCGATATCATTAAATCATCGTCCTACCTTTTTCACACTTGAGTTTATCTCTTGTGAAATTCTCTTTTGTGGTGATTTAAAGGAACTGAAGATATTTTTAATTAAATTAAATGTTAAATGATTCTTTTGGAGGTTATTTTTGGTTCTGGATTTATGAATTTTGATGATTTGAGGTAATTAAGAGATAATGTTCAATTTTGAAATGTTATTTATAGTTTTATGGATATTTTGGGTTGTTTTGGTTCAAGATTTAACTTCAAATCAATGATTTAGAACTTAAAACAACGATTAGAATGTTAATGTGGTTAGAAAACAATCCATCTAATTGAAAAAAGATCCAATTCTCAAATGAACAATTCAAAATTAAAATTACAAAATCAACCAGATCTTCAATAAAGAAGAAACTTCAGGAATTTGAATAAACCTATCCACTTAATTAACGTTAAAATTATTTTTCTTTAAATTTTAATCAAAATAATCAAATCCTGTTCAAAGCAAAAAGTGCAGAATAATCCTTTACTTAATTCAAATCAAATCGATTCGAATCTTTAATTAAAAAGAAAAACGAAAATTATAAACATTTTTCGATTCATCGCAATTGAATTGAGCTTTTCAATTGATGAGTCTAATTTAAGAAAAGAAGAAAGACAGAATTACATTCTTTTTAAAATAAACAACAAAAAGTTTTTTTTTTCTGATTTCTCGAATCAAATTTGACGAGAAGCAATAAATTTAATTTTTGGGCAGCAATTTTTATTCTAATTAACGAGGAAATTTCTTTTCTATTTTAGATTGATGAAAATTTATCGAGTAAATAAAGTATTTTACGTAAGGTAGGATCGGCATGACGTTTAAGAAATTCTAGCAATCTGCAGTTTAGTGTGTAAATTATGGCTTCAATTAAGTATTTCCTCTAGTATGTGAGACTATTGATCAATTTGGAGTTTATGGCTGATTTGGACACTTAAATGAGTTAAATTTGAAATTTTATTGCGTGACGAAGTTACAAACTATCCAACAGTTCTTCTTCTTCTTCTTAATTAACTTTATTATAGTCCATCAGCTTATTGCTATTTAAAGACCGTTCACAATTCCAGGTAGTTTAATTTACAGAGCAGAAAACATGCTCGCGATAAGTCAAAACAACAAAAAAACTATCGCTAGGCAAAAAATTCCATCTTCAGTTGTCGATGATCCAGATCCCTTGACAGTCCTTCTTGTAATTCAACTTGTGATATTCCAAATAGATTCAAATTTTTGTTATGTCTCGATTGTGATCTGTCAATGTAATTAATATGATCTGCTGTATTCCGAGATGATCGATTCCTGTTTGTCAATGTTGATTTGTTGAAATCCAGTCAGCACCAATTGATTGATAGAATTGCCAGCGATATATGGGGAAACACACAAAACCCATCGCGAGACAAATTCTCCTCACAATTGACGATAATCCGTTGTATTCCAATAATATTCAATATGTCTAGGTTATGGTTATGATAAAACCTTCTTGTCCACGATTGTTGGTAAAACACAAAAAACCCACGTGAAACAATTGATCTGCCGCTGATCGTGATTTGTCAATTCCGTTTTATCTAGATTATGTGCAAAATTTGCACATTTTTTTCCAATTTCAATTTATATCCAAAATTTAATTAAATCGCGACTTTGCTGAGTTTTCTCCTTGGTATCTTTGTTCTTTGTTACTTTGAAGACAGTTCTTGTAGGTTTGTGACTTATTTCTATGCGTAATTAATTAATTTTGAAGTATTGCACAATTCCACAACCTCCTCATTCGGAGGTTGGGAGAAAACTCACTATACAACAGTTTTTTAAGCAATGGAAAGATATACAACAGAAATTAATTTTCTTCAAAACCATATAACAGTCTTCGAATTTGAATGTACAAGAACCGTTAAAGGATTATTAAAAACTTGTTGATTTTCCCATGAAATATTTAAAAAATTAATTAAAGTACTTACTCATCATTAGTGTCATTATCCCTGAATCCCTTAGCAAATGGATTTGATACGATCTTCAACTGTGTCACCTGTTAAATAAATTAAATTAAAAAATCGTTTGTTAATAATTTAGCAACAAAATATTGTGAGGAAAATTAATAAATTGTTCCCAAAAGTCATCATTTTTCAGCCACCCATTTACACATAAATAAAAAAATAAGAAAAATAACCGCAAAAAATGTGAATAATTAACATTTTAAAGGCACGCAAATTAATTTTAACGACACTCATTTAAGCAAGTGTAAAATGAACACTCACGAGTGCGTATACAAGTATTGGATATGGAAACACGAGCAACGAATTTTTTTTTGTGATAATAAATTTGAAATGTTTTGACAGATATTGAGGGACATAAAATACAAATAAGACCATAAAACTTGTTCATGCTGGGCAGTGCTTAATAATATTGTGGTGTGGAGAAGTCAGGAGGACAAAATTTATCTTGACAAAAAGATATAAAAAAAATTATATCATATTTTAAATTGTCGCCAGAAATGTCATGTATTTCTTTTCCACACACACAAAATCTTAATTATGCAAAGATACATCAATATTCCTGCTAGTTTATGAACATGGAATGAGATAAAAATCATCTGTTGGAATCAGCAAGAAAATTAGAAAGTGGAAATTTAAAGTTTAATTTTTAAATCTGCTCTCAATGAAGACATATCTTGACGCCATTCATAAATAATGCAATAAATTTCTTTGGTGACAGTAATTTTTACTGTATGTGCAGAAAAATTTGGCGATAAATAAGCAGCCGAAAAGAATTATGAGGATTTTTTTTCATGTAATTTCCTCACTAAAAGTCATGAATTGTTTTCGATGAATTTATTTACTTTTTCTTCGTGTTTCTTTAGATTTATGCTTGGTGTTTTTTAGAAATTTGAGTCTAATGAGTCACTTTTTGGTTGTTTGTGCCGAAAAATTGGTTTTTTGAAATTTTAAAATTTTGTAAAAAAGAAGTTTCTGGTTAAAATTTAATTTTAAGGAAGTTTGAACATGGTTTGTAAACTTACTAGGAACATTTGAGACTTATTAAGTTTCTTAAGGATTGATAAAATACTTAATTCGTCTTAAAGAATAAAATGTGATGTTCATTGTCTGAATTCTAGTCGGAGACTACATTTTTACTAAACGGGGCAAACAACTATAAAGGTACCAATATTATTTAAATCTCAAATGACAGTTTTTAAAAATATAAATAAGATCAAGAGTAACATCTTTAAAATTGTCTATAACATTGCAAAATAAAGCCTTTATCCAGAATTTATTGCCATTTAATGCCAATTTTAAATTTTCACTGATATTAAACAATTCCATTTAATTTCATCAATGTTAGTCAAGAGGTCCAGTAAAATAATGCGCCCCAAAAATCCAAAAACTCAAATCTCTAAACCATTCAAAATCAACTTACTGACGAAGAAAAAGATGTGGAAAATTTTTTACAACTTCTTAATGACTATCAGACACCCAGTCACACACATTTCACATCATTCGAAATGACTTTCTATCTATCAAGAAAATTTATTGCAATCACAAACAGATTTCCTCTCCGATGTTCGTGGGATTTGAGATACTTACGCGTTGATTCTGATAAGCAGTCACAGCAGTGAATGACGTTTCAGGGAAAACGAAGGCACGAAAATTCATAAATTCACGCTCTTCCTTTATGCCATTCTGCGGTAAATACACGATATGAAAACGAGGCTGGTATCTGTGCATTGAATTTAAAATAATCTGAAATAAAATAATTTTCAGTCTCTTGAGAATCAAGAAAATTATCATAAACTTTAATTTCTTACATGTCCATGATCATCTAGCTGATTATTTGTGAGTTTTAATTTATCAAATGATATTGTTTGTTTCATCCATGTCGCACCTGATGCTATTTGGATAGTCAAGAAAAGCAAGAAAATGTATTAGAAATTTTCAGTTTATTTTTAAATTTGTTTTTTTAGCACTTACCAGGTGAATCTGGATGTACGTGAATTCTGAAAATAAATTTTGATTTTATTATTATTAAATTTTTGGAGAATTTTAATGTGGACTTACCGAGGCGGTGAAATTGGATCTGCTTTGCCAGCAACGACCCATGACGATGTGTGAAATGCATATCTGTAGCTGCAAATTTAAATAAAGTTCTTATTAGAATTCAATATTGATAACGAAGCGTGCAACAGATTTACGTTTGAAATAAAGAATCTTACAACGGCTTTGAAGTGTGTAAATTAAACAATACAACAGTCATATGAACTATTTGAAACCCCACAACAGTAATTGACTGTACAATTAAAACATTACAACAGGACTATCTTTAGAACCCTACAACAGCTATGAAGACCAGTTCAGATAATAAAGTATAAAATCAAACTTACCGTTTGTCATCGACAGGAACGAAATCCATCATCATCATGTAACTAATTTGTGGATCAAGTCCAACAACGCGAACTTGAAAGGTTGGAAACATTCGTCGACCGGCTTTCGTCACAATCATTTCAGTTCCTTGTTCATGAAATTTATCCCAAAGTGGCTTAGCTTCAAGAATCACATTAGCATTAAGGAGTGATGAGTGGAATGGAAGTTGCTGCTTCTCATTATCACCCTTTTTATTGCACTTTGGCTTCTGAGTCATGCCTTTATTTAAGTCATTTCCATTCACTTTGTTGCCACTAATATCACCATGTGATGCTGATGTCGCCTGTTGAATTTGATGCGGTGACTGCTCACTGATGTCTGTCAATTTGATTTGGTCCAATTGTTCAAGTGGCTTGTACGAATTTCTCTCTTTGTCGGCATTCTGTAGACATGCTGTAACAAAATCTTGAAAAATTAAAAAAAATTCGCTTTAAAAAAACTAAGACAAAAATATATTTGAAAGAATAAAGCAGGCAATACTTAAATTAGGAATTAGTTGAATGGTTTTTATGGTCCATAAAAAGAATTAGCGACTGGATTAGAATACAATTTATGAAGTTTGTCTCATTAGTAAATATTTGCATGCCATATTGTTCTGTTAATGATGTTGATGACGCAAATTTCGGCGATAAAAATAAATCAATGCAACAAAGTTTTCATTGTTTCTGAAGTCAATTGAGAGCAATTTTCTAGCGCAACTATTAATTTGTTTTAAAGTCATCACGATATAAATATGAAAGGTGATAAATGTGAGTTATGGAATGAGTTTTGTGCAGTTCAAGGTAGGTAGTGGGTAGATACTAAGTTTTGTGGTTGAAGATTGTAGGACAAATAAAAGAAATTTCAAAGCCTACTTAATTGTTTTGAGATTACTTTAGTAATATTGACTAAGTTTGATAGAACTTAATAATGTAGCTTTGAAATTGTCGTTTAAAATCTATCTTAATGACTGATTTGACAGAGTTCGATCTTAAATCTTGAAGAATCCAGAGAAAAATCGAGTAAATTTCAATCAAAAGAAATTTCAATGACAAATTATTATTGTAAATTCATATTAATCTCTAGATCTCTGTAAAGACTTACTACATGCTCATTTTCCCAACTTAATCATGCTTGAAGAGTTAATTAGCATATTTTAATGATGTTAACAGCAAATATCATGTGCGAATTAAAATGTAGGAACATTTATCATCCTCTCTTTGCGCATTTTACATCATGAATAAGCAATGCATCTATGAGATCTCATTACGTGGAATAATTTACATATAAGTGAATATTCTAATTGCACATTCAAGTTGCCAAAATTATGGCAGAAACTTCTCTCTTCACTTGATGTAGAAAAAAAAGGAAGAAGAAAGATTTTTTTTCAATGTTTGTGACACTCGACACTCATAGTCTCACACAACAGATGATTACTAATGAGTAAATTAATTTACTGTTTTACTCACAAACATTAATCAAAATGACATATTCATTCATTCGTCTAATTTCTATTTTATGACTTTAGGAATGTTCCTTGGTAAATTTTCGAGTATATTGGAGCTGAGATTTTGAAGTGTTTGGATAAGGGAAGCTTATTTTGACAGATTGACTTATTCGGGTGAGTCTTGTTTGTGCTCAATTGATCATTGCCAACTTTTATGAGCTAATAAATCAGTTTTTAGTAGTTGGTTGAGAGTTTAGCTCATAAAAATTGAGAAATACTTTTTGAGGTGAGCGAAAGTCGCCATTTTGAAATTAATGTTAATAATTTGAATTTTTGAAAGCCGTTATACTTTTATTCATTTTTAAATTAATAGCAAGAGGTTTTTTAATGCCCACAAGACTTTAAAATGGTAAATCTAGTAAATTTCGTGAAATTGCGCTTTAACTTATAATCACTTCCTTACCAATTCTAAGAAACATCGAAGATCTATTAAAAAAATTGTAAAATGTAGAGGAACTAACTGCTTAAACAATTTATCATTAGAAAAACTTGATCTGGTCACAACAAAAGAGTAACAAAGTAGATAGAATTAGGCACGAACGAGTAAGTTTGAAAAATTTATGTCTAAGTAAACAAATGATTGAAAGAAACTTCCTATAACATCATCTTGTGTTTCCACGTTCTTTAATTTCTTTTCTCATCATCATAATTTTTACAACCTCTCAAAACTCACGAGGAAAATGTGAAGAAAAATCATTAAACAATTTGATTTATGACCTGCACTTTAAAAATCGGTGGTAAAAATTTAATGTTTTTCAAAAAAAAAAAAATAGACAAGGAAAAGCCACTAAATTTTCCGACTCAATTCATATTATTTTCAGTTTATTTTTCGGTTGAGAGCAATTTATCTGAGTGGTGTTAAGTTTATTCCTTTGCTCTCTTCAATAAACAATTTTATGATCTCTCACGTCTATATAAAATATTAAAAATTATTCGACATGGAAGTTGAACGATCTTGTAGTGATCATCACTTTTACGTCACTTCTGGTTTCATTAGAAACTTTATGGTAGCATGGAGAGATTGAAAATCATATTGGACCTTGAAAGATTTGATTGATTGGTCTAAATTTTGGAAAAATGTCTAAAAATATCCTCGGGGTTTGAGTGAAACTGAGTTATTGCTTTTTAAAACGGAAAGATGATTGCGAATTTTTGTCAAAATTAAGATACGATTAAATCTTTGATTAGCGTTGCAGTTTAGATTTTTAATTGTATTCTAATGGATTTAATCATGCACTTGAATCAAAAAGCATATTTCTGGGAGATTTATCAAGACCGCATCTGCAACCAAACAAGAAAGCACAATATTAAACAAAGAAAAATAAAAGAAAATTGATTCTTGTTCTTCTAAGGATTCATAATTTGGTTTATTATCTAGATGCTACCCAGAAATCATATTTTGAAGTGAATTTGGAACTATTCTGAATTTGATCTTAAATTAAGCTGTCAGAACTAACCCACTGTGAAAAAAACATTTCTTTGAGTTTATCTTTCAATTAAGAAGTTTAATCTAGTTTCAATTTATTAACATTATTTTGAAGTTTTGGTTGTTAAGTTTATTAATTAATCTACAGGACTTAGCCGATCAAAAGTTTTTTAAATCTTAAAAAACTTCTAATTCATGTCAGCGATAGTTTTAAATCACCAAAATATCTAAAAACGTGATCGGAATCACTCAATAGACAAGACTAATAAGGTCAAACTAGAAACAAATCGACTTGCAAAAGATCGCAATTAAAACAATCGAGCATTGATTTAATCAATTCCCTTCAATAAATTTCATTTCATTCTTGAGCATTTAAATTAAGCAAAAAAAAAAATCTCGTGAAAATAAATTTCGAGCTGTCTCGAAAGCAAGAATCCCAATATAAATTTCTCAAAATCTTAATTTTGTTTATTCGTTAAAGTGGCAAATTGAAAATTTATTTATCTTTCGCATTACACACATTTAAATTTCCTCTCTGTTGCCTGCCTGAATGCTCGATCCTAGAAGAAAATAAATGCCAATGTCTTGTAAACAACAATTAATGGCAATTCGACCTTTTCGAGTCAAGCTGATGAAAAATTCTAAATTTCTTCTTGATCTTCTAAAATGTGACAATTTGCAATTCCGAGCGTGATTCACAATTTCCCGAAAAAAAAAATCATCTGGCTGAGATGTTAAAATTAAAAGCCAAGACTCGTGAATTAATTAGAGACTTTTAATTAAATTTAAAACTATAAAAAAAATAAATTGTATAAATAGAGCAATAAGCAACTGATTAAGAAGTGGCGTTAAGTGGATGTGATAACTGACGACATGAGGCTTTTAAATTCCTTAAAAAAGTTTCTTTTAATTCGTTTTATAGTTGCAGGATTTTTATTTTTCCTTCTTGACAAGTTAGAATTTAGTTTATAATCATTTTTAAATTAATAGATTGTCGATCATTGTGGCTAGTTACAAATGGAGAGGCTTTAGGATTTTAAATTCATGATTTTTGATAATTTTAAGATTTAATTATAAAACTTAGAATTCTGTCTTTTAGACTAGACTGATCATCTTAATTAGGCTTTTGCCATTACAAGCTATCATAATATTCAATTAGAGATCAAGATTTTGAAGCAGATTTTGTGAATTTACTTAAAAATTGTTAAATATGAGAAATAATATTAAGATTTTCAAAATGGCGAGTTCAAAATCTTTTATAAAACTTTAAAAGCCGTTAAATTTGAATTTTAAATTGTTAAATGAAATTTTAATCAGAAAGTTTGATAAACTTGTTTTGTTTAAATCATATTATTTCTTTAACATTCTCAGATAAAGCTTACGAAAATTTACAGTAATTTAACTCTAAATATTGCTTCTTAAATATTATCAAGAATTGAACAGAAATAAAGAATTATGAGAGCTCGAAGTCGATGAAATTTTGTATGGAGTTGACTCCGCCATACAAAATCGATGAAAATCTCGAGTAAACTTCAAGCTGTAGAATTTCTCATTGCTTCATAGAATTATAATATTAGTCATAATTAGTAAGATCACAATTTCGTGACAAAAATAAAAGTTTCAACCAAATCAAATTCAAATCTAAGAACAAAATCAATCACAAAACTCATTCTACGTCTAGTCAAAAAAATGTCATAAAATAATTCTTATAATTCTAAATCACCTTTATACAAAATTCTGTCTAGCTCACCTTCCATTTCCTTCATCGGTGTAGATCCATTTTTATAAGATGAGTTCCAATAATCAGAACCATAATGATGATACTCATTATTTAAGTTTAAATTCAAAACATTATCGTAATGATCATTCACATTATTTGCATGATGATGATGAATGTTCATGTTCATTGCACCATCATTCAACTGCTGCATATGACCGTGACTCATCTTTCAATTCTAATCTCCAATAATTAAGTAAAATTGTGCGGAAAAAAAGTATCAAGCAGTGTTGTTTATTGAAACAATCCTTTCAAAGTCTAAAGCACTTTGCCGATATATTTATTTGAAGAATATTTTCACACTTGTACGAAATATAAGCATTGCAAGTCAGTATGTTCACGGTTAAATGGTGATCATCACCTTATTGTTTCACACTTTCAATATCGTTCTAATGATTGCTCCCCAGATAGATTGTGTTTGTCTTTACATATGTTCTCGTCTTTATCACAACATTACTTTTGCAGTACAAATCATCTGAATATTTATTAATTTGCCACCACTTTCAATTATTCATTTTTTTACACTTCAGACCTCGCGACTCGTGTTGATTTTCTAATTCACACTCAAATAGTACCGCGTGCGGTGGATTTTCAACAAGAGATTTTTTTTAATGCTTCATAATATCCAAAATAATAATTCAATGGCCACGCGAGATCGTACTTAAGCTTTCAATAGGTGGCAAAGATTAAGTCGAGGAATTACTATAATTTTCTTTTTTCTTTTGGATTCTCATTCAAGTCAGCCGAGAGTGAGAGAGTTCAGAAAAGAGATCTTTTTATGTTATAGATTATTTTTTCCTGTTTGCGCCATGTACGTGCGGCGGGAAAATTTTCTTCACACTTTCTGTCTAATATCACTTCACACTTTCGATTGTGAAAAATTGTACGTTTCGGGTTCACAAAAAAAGAAAAATAGGGAATTAATTTCCTCCAGACTTCTTATTCTTACTATTTTTATATTAATTCATTTATCGTCGATTAAGAAATTTTCGTCTGATTGTTTTTTTAAGGTATCAAAAAAAATTTCACTTTCAATTTCACTTTTGCTTCTCCACGATCGTCTCGACTTTTCTCTCAATCAACTCTAGTTTTTCACGACTTATCTGATGCGAGATGAAAATTCAACTGCGGCATTCACAAAACTTTTTTTTCCTCATTCACAAAAAAAAAATCTGTTTCTTCTTTTGCTTCCTCGATCTTCAGTGTTGGTTGTATTTATTTAAATCTTTTTTTTTCTTTTATTTTTCTTACTGTAGATGATGATCTCTCTCCAAATGACTTCTTGCTTTCTGTTGATTGGATGAAAACACAAAATTTTATCTCATTTATGAAATGTGAGTAAGGAAGTGGCTTTTTTTGAGGATTTTTAAGTGACGCTTTTTAGGGTTTTGTGATCTTTCAGCAATGACAAATTATAAAGACTGGTTTAGAATTGTTTAATCCTGTTTAATCAATATCTTTCGTTTCAATCTGATGAGATTAATTAAAGCTTTGCTGAATTCGATTTTAATAGAAACCAATCAAAGTAGATTCTTAGATTTTAGTCAATGGCTTGTTAAGAAATCGCTAATCTTTAGTCTTTAACTTTAAGTGGTCTAAAATTCGAAGAGTGTCAAGATTCTTTACCAGAGTCTCAAACACATGATTGAATGCTCAAGAATTGAACAATTGCATTACCGAACTTGTTCAGTTGAAAATTTTGTAACTTGAACAAAAATAAGGAAATTAAAAATTTCTTAAAGTTAAATTTGGAAAATGAAAAACTGTTAAAAACCTATTAATTATTCAAGTTTAATGTTTATAGATCAATGATTCTAAAGTAAAAGTTTATAATCTTTAAATAATCTCCCATTTTTGAAGATTACAATCTTTATACAAAGATTATAGTCTTTGATAATCTTTTATTCAAAGGTTATATCTTCGTTTTTAAAAGATTATAATTTATGAGAGCTTTGGACTGTCGCATAATAATCAGATTGGCAATAAATCCATTTAGAAAATCAATTTTTTGTTAATTATAAACAATACAAACATTTTTGGATAGCATTTTAGTTATTCTAAAGACTAAATGCTTATTGATTCTCTCTTATTGTTCTGAAAATTGAGCTTTAATGTTTTTTTTCTTTTCTCTCGTTAAATTAAGCAGCAACTAAGAAGCAGCATATACATACTATTTTGATTATAAGTTCAAAGGAAAGAAATCATTACAAAAACCAATTCAAATTTAGGGAATTCTTTAGATTGAATGTCACGTTTAAAGATCATCTGACAGTTAAAGTCAATGCTAAGTTATAATATCAATTTCCAAAAACTTGTAATTTTTAAAAATCAACCTGATTTCTTATCTAAAATCAACAAAATGTAAAACTCTTGACTTTTTACTATGAAAAGGTTAACAATTTTAAATTTCCAAAAAGGAAAGTCTGACTTCTTTACATTCCCTTTGCATATTCCAGTGATGATCAACATAAATGTTTCATTTATTTTTTCTTACTCTACTGAATGCTGTGAACTCTTAACACATGTTTTTCTCTCAAAAAAAAATAGAATCTACACAAGTCTCTAAAGAACTTACTGTCAATTTGTTTACCAAAAATATTCTTATGCTGTAACAAATTTAATGATCTTTCTCTTTTTTATGGTTTTCATGTTTTCATGAAAGTAAAAGGACCTTCTGGTTTTGCCTCCACATATGTTTACATACATTTTGAGTTCATCGATGCCACACAAGATCACAATTATGTGTAGAAACTGATAAAGATCCTCAATCTTTAATTGTGCGTGAAAGTGTTATCGATTCCATTAAGTGACACTGTTGTAATATCACGAGGAAAGTGCTTACAGCTGCTGAGGAGCTGTGAGTAAAATTATGAAAATTATTTGATCGCAATTTTGAGAATAAAAGTGTTTACTAGTGCTGATGTTATGGCGGGATGGCTGGATGAATAGGTGGATGCGATAGAAGCAATTTTACATGAGTTTGAAGCAGGGTTGTGATATAGGCACCTGTGAACAGGTGGGAACCGTACAATTCCTTGATAATTTATAAGGTTTTTTGTAATAAACCATACAAATTTTAATAAAACCTCACAAATTATCAAGATATTGTATTCCCATCTGTGCACAGGTGCCTGTATTGCAACCCTGGTTTCAAGAAACTTTGGGAAACTTACGTATTGATCCATCTGAAAGAGAGGTCGTTCGTAATTGTTGTGTGCATTTTCGGATAAGCAACTGAATCGTGATACTTCAGTGGGAACATGTCGCACAAGCTTCGAAAAGAAATTTTAGAAAATTCTTATATTTTAAATTATAAAAAGCCGTTAAAATTTGAATTGTTTTAATCCGTTAAACATCAAAAAATTTTACAATTATAATTTTAATGCTCTAAGTGAGTATTTATCAATCAAATATAAAAGTTTACAATAAAAACAGCGCTCAAGTCCCTCGCTCAACAGCACGATAAATTTATTTTTCATGAGAGAATCAAATGGTGATCAACATAAGGCGATGAAAAATGCTCATCTTTGACGTACACAACAGCAATTTTTTTTTCGTTACTCATTCATACATAGGAAGGCGGAGAATACAAAAAAAAAAGATGCGAGATGCGACGGCTCTTTCATCCAATAAAAATGTTTTTCTTTCTCAATCCTCTCATCTTTCCTTTCAATCTAATTCTGCGTGATCGTCACAATTGAAAAAGATTTTATTCTATCCATTTCCTCACACACAACAATTTTTATTTTTATTTTCTTGATTAATGAATAAATTATTTATGGAGCAAACATGAGATTGATGATGATTTTAATGTGATGTTTTGCATCAAAAAATAAGACGTGTTAAATATGTGTTGAAATTTCATTTTCAGCTAAATGAACAGCAACAATGTTTTAGACTGTGTTTGTGTTGTATTTTTGCGAACTTTTATCAGTTTTTTTATTGGTTTTGAAAACTATTTTATGATATCTGAAGTTCGTACTTATCATGTTTATTTAACACATTTATTATTGGGGGAAAAATGTTGATTTCTTTGAGTTTTGAGCTTCAAATTTGATCAAATCAATTCATTGAGTGTAATTAGAAAATTTAAAAGAATCGTTGAAAAACTTGATTTTTGTACAAATTATGACATGCACTAAGATTCAAAACACTGCTTATTTCCAAATATGCAATCAGATTTAAGTCAACCAAATAAAAATGATAAAACGGATAAACCCAAGAATTATTTTGCATAGTTTAGATTCGTTTTGTTGTAAAGATTCTACAATTAGTACACAAAACTTTAGTTTTTGTGTTTGCAAAGCTCAAATCTTCAATAAACACATTGTTTTTGACTAAATTTACAGATAATTGTCAATTATTGATGAATACAGATCTGATCTGCGTATTAAATGAAGAATGTTTTGATTGTAAACATTCTTGCCTTCTTGTAAGTTTTCTGGATTTAATTGACATAACAAAGTTATAAGAATCTATCATATCTAAATTTGAACAATCGAATAAACCAAGAATTCTAGAATTCTTATTTTAAAACAAAACTTAGATTAGATTCAGACTCATCAATTTTGTAAATCCAAATCCAAATCCAACTTAATAATGTTCAATTCAAATACAGTAAATTTGTGCATACATTTTATGAGCATTAAAAAGAAGAAAAAGCACAGATAAGATAAGATATTAGTATATAACATTACTTTCGTTTATGTACTTTAATTATTTGTCAGTGTGTTTTATTCCTCTTATCACTCGGCTGCATTTATCAAAGAAACAACGATATTTAACACAAAAATGCGGCATTTATCAGTTATAACTTAGCTTTGGGTGTGAATAGCCGGTGAAATTGAAATTTTGTTAAATTATCACTTAAATTTTGTAAAACAGATAAAATGTGGAAAATCGTTGTAACATTTGCAATTTTAGGATTTGCTGGAATTCAGGCACAAGGTTGTGATTCATTGATGATTTAATTTTTGTGAAATTGTGTCTAAGATTTGGATTTATAAAGGAGAATAAAGGTTTTTGATGCAAATGAAAATGCTAGGTTCGGGTTCTTATTTGTACTCTAGAGTATCGCCTGACAATCTCTAGACACAAATGTTTAATAGAATTGGAAATCTTTTTTAAAAACCTTGGAATAGAATTGTTTAAAATATTCAATAATAATGTTAAATCTTAAGAGCCAATCGTTATGGAAGTTCTTTAAAATTCTACACAAACGAACAGAATGCAATAAATTATATAATTCAGTTCCATATCTTCATATCTAATCTACCATTCGGATTTTTATGTGAGATATCGTGAATACACAATCATTGGCTTTATCAGAAACTTTCGTCCCACCTTTTTTGATCAATGTCGTGGAATCTATAAATATCTATAACATACTAAGTATCTTTGATACTAATCAAACTTCCTAGAAGAAAAATAAGTTATGACTCACATCAAGCAAAAATCATGTTCTGATAAAATTCGCGTATCATCAAAAAAAAATTGTTTAATATAAAATATGATAAAAGCTACTTCCATTACTCAACCCTAAATGACGCAATGATAATTCAACAAAAATAAATAAAGTTTAAATCCCTGATAAGAGTTTTTATCAATTTTGTAATTTGTGTAGCGAAAACCATCAATTTCGGTATCTAAAATACAATTTTCTTTTCCATCCAACAGAAGAATTTTGTATACAATGCTCATCGAGTGCTATGAACAGTGATTGCGTCTATCCAGAAAGACTTGCAAACTTTACTCAAACTTGTGGAAATCTCACAGGATTATGCTTTACAAGAGTTATCCGTAAGTGATGAAAATTATCTTCTTAAGTATGAAAATTAAGTTAACTTTGTAAATTCATAGACGATGGGCAGATTCAACGTGGATGTGGATCAGAAATTGACTCCACTGAATGTAGCGGTGAATTGTGCTCAATTTGTCCATTAGCCTCAGGAACATCAGTAGCATGTAATGACCAGCCTCTCCCAGTCGATCGTTTGACATGCTATACCTGCACAGGTAACAGAACTTCAACATGCGGTGCAATGAATGGAACTTTAACCGAAGAGCGCTCAGTCATGTGTCCATTATACCTTGAAGGAGATCGTTGTGTTGCAACCAGACGTAACGATATAGTCGAAAGAGGTTGCTTCTCATCAATGCATAGTGTCAACTGTGACATTACCCACAATTGCTGCATGGGACATGGATGCAACCATATGGATTGGGATTTAGTACTGACTGGAGCAGCAGTAAGCATCAGCTCAGTTCTTAAAATTGTAACAATTGCTCTCTTTGGAGTTATTGTTGGATACAATAATTTATAAATTTTAAAAGCTGATCCGAAGCTCGCACGGATGTCACCGAAGGTGTTAAAAATGTATATCATATGATTTCATTTATAGCATGTAGGCATACTATTTTAAATAATTGAACTGTTAAATTCAATTTTAAATAAATAAAGACAAAAGTTTTTTTTATAAAAATATTTATTCAAGTATTTACTTAACTTATTGCAGTTTGGATTTGATTGGGTGGATTGCAAAGAGTTCCTGGAAATACGTAAGAAACTGATGAAAGTTAGCGCTTTGAGTTGAGGCACGTGATTTTATCTTGACTGGTTTTAAGGACTAGATTCTTTGGTAGAGAGTGTAAGCTTGATCAAAAGTCATTGAACATTGAATTCCCAATATGAAGTAGATTTAGACTGCTCAGTTGACGCTGTACAGCTTGCAAAATTTAATCTGGTATTTTGAATCATCAAATCCGAGTTTTTAGACCCCGATTTATTGATTTCACAGGAATCATGAAGCCTCCAGCACCAAATGTCATTCTATTAAGCACATCCAGCAAATCGTCGCTGAAAGAAAAGTGCGCTAAATCGTAGATTGAAATCAAAATAATAAGAAATAAAGGTGAGGTTATAAAAAGAAAAATATCTAACAGCGTCGATAGAAAAATTGATCGCAGCCGGATGCAATGTCCATTAAAATGTCATCACATTCATTTGATGTTAAGAGAAAAACTCTTAACCATTCCTTTATGATTATGTGAAGCGGAAAACTATAATATCATTTCTATTTTTCCAGAAGATCTCTTTTTTTTTGTTTTCTTTTTTCAAGGAGAATTTTTCTCTTCGTTTTAATAATTTTGCAATTGATGTTCTGTTTGAATAAAGCCTGTCTTTGATGTTAGAGGCGGCAAATTTTCAGAAAAGAATTCTAATGGACTTTAACTGAAGAAATTTTTTACGATTATTGCGGATTGCCTTAGTTTACCGTATTTGTGGGTTGAGGAGAATCTATAAATTTTTATTAGCCTCATAAAATTCTTATTGTGCAAGAAGAAGCATAACAATTTTCAAAGTTTATTGAAAGTTTCGTACTTAAAAAAATAATAAAGTTTTGCACACAAAAATGTTCTTTTTATGAAAATTGGAAGTCTTTGACACAGTCATAGCCATAAAATCCACATTTATAGCCTGCCAATTTGCAGCCATTGTGGATTGCTTGTTGTATATTATTAAAGTCCTTTATTAAGCTGTATAAGATGCCTGCTGTGAAGGTATCACCTGCTCCTGTTAAGAATTAAAAAAACATTCCAAAATGCTCAATTAAATCCAATTGATATCACTTACCTAAAGTGTCTACAGTAGTTTCACAAGGATATATTGGACTCTCAAAAAAGTTCCCTTCTAAATCCAAAGCACAAGCGCCATCTTTACCCCAAGGACAGATCAACATGCAGTTTTTATTCTTATACCTGTCATCATTCATCGTCATATCCCTCAATTTATAAATAGCAGTTTTCTTATCATTGCATCCAAGAATTTCAGCAAAATCTCTTCCAAGAATGGCAACGTCAGCATATTTGATAAGTAACATGTTTTCATCGCGTTTCTTTTCCAATTCCAATGAAATTTTGATTTTGTCACTTTCTGCTTTGCCTTCATTGAAGTCCTTAATTTTTTTCATCATTCTTGTCGTTTCAGGTACACTACGTGCTTCAAAATGTACCCAATAATATTCACTTAAGTCACATTTATCAAAATCCTCAAACTTAACATGTGGAAGGTTTTTATTGGTATGTATAATTGTACGATATCCCGTATCCTTACTTAACAAAACAGTTGATAATGGAATGTTGCAGTTTTCATAGTATCGACAGTTTTTAATCTCTATATCTCGATCCTTTAAATCTTCAATTATGAACACAAACATTTTATCATTTGAGAATGTAGTCAGTAGTTCACAATTTAACCCCAAGTTTGTCAAGACTGTTGAACTATTGGATGCATTACCTCCTCTATAGATTTTAAAGAAAAAAAATATTTGTTTACATTCTCACTTGAGAATTTTGTCAGTAAAATTTGACTTGTGTTGAAGTTTTTTGATCATTTTGATGAGTGGAAAGTATTTAAAAAGAGTGAGCAAAGCCTTTATTAATGGATTTCATTGACAAATCAGTATAAATACTTCAAAAACCTTATCTACCTTTGGTGGTAAGCATGTACACTTCGCACATCGTCATCCTCTTTTGGGAATGTTTCAACAATTTGAATAATATCTAAGACACACTCGCCCACCAACAGAATTTTCCTCATTTTATTAAAATTTACAGTTAAAACAAGTTAATAAACATAGCATTACAGTTATTGGAAGCATTTAACACCTAGAAATAACAATGAGTAAATCAAATTTTAATCTAATCATTTTGCAAGCAATAAATGCATGATAATGTGGAACAGCTTAATTAAAGTGATAGATTATGTCATAAAGCTTATTTAAGAGAAATCATTTGTTGATGTTTACAACTTCAAATTAGAGACAATGTTTTCATATCAAAATTTTAAGAAATCCTAATTGATGCTTTAACAGCTTACCTAGCGGATCCTAGAACAACCTTTTGTAATTATATTAAAAACTAATAAAATCGTCCCAAAAAAGCTGATTATAAGGTATTATTATAAATAATTATTGCGCAAAAGGTGTTATCAAATATAAGCCTGAGGCTTATAACGAGAAAAGTGCTTTTGCCGGCATTAACCGGTTAATTTTAACGGTTTTAAAAAATTCAAATTTATAAAACCGATTCAGTTAATATACAAATACACATGTTCTTCGGAAAAAATTAAAATTAAAGAATTAATTAGTTTAACCGAGTTCTAGCTTCATTATTATCATGGAGAATTTACATTTGAAAGAGTTTTCACCGGATCAGAAGCTTTTTGCTGTCATACAAAGTGATGGAGTGCTGAAAATCTATGATACCGAAACTAGTAAATTGAAGCAAGAATATATTCCTAATTTACATCTTTCTACGCCCTGTACAGCTCTAAAATGGATCAAAATGGAACTCAAGAAGAAGGTAATTACGACTACATGTTATTCAGTTAATCCAGTTGTTAATTAAGTTATTATTATGTAGAGAAAATCAGAATTAAGCAGTGGCACATTGTACATACTTTTGGGAACAAACAAAGGCGATCTGTGTCTTTATTCTTATGCGACAGCCAAGATTGAAGCGACATTTAAAGGCGAAGGACATTCAAAATCAATTACATCCATAGATCATAACGGATCAGACACGATTTACACGACAGGATTAGATTCTCAAGTGATAAAATGGAATATCGCAAAATGTCGGCAGGAATCGTCATTTGACATTGGACCTGACAAGCCAACAGCAATTTGTGTATTAGAAAATGAACAGCAAGTTGCCACAGCATCAAAAACTATTAAAATCTGGGATTTAGAAACAAATCAATTGGTAAAAGCATTCACTGGACATTCATCAGATGTTATTATCCTTAAATCCTTTACACATGATGACATAAGTTATATCGTTAGTGCCTCAAAGAACGATCGAAATTTGTCATTATGGAAAGTTGATGACAGTAAATCTGCAGTTTTTGGGACATTTACGTTATTAAACAATGCACCAAACTTTATTGACTGTAAAATGTTCAATGAACAACTTCGTATTGCTTGTATCTGCCGAAATGAGTCATTGTCATACTTTGATGTGCCACTCAAGAGCATTAAAAGCAAAAAGCCAGTAAAAGTGAAATTCACAGTCGAAATCGCATCAGATAATGCTAAAAATGTCACTCATATTCCAATTATCTGTGCATCAATCCTGTCTTTTGATCTAATGATTGGATATGGCGATATGATAATGAAGTTTGAGACAATTCCAAACAGTCAAGAGACAACAAATACAGTTTTGGTGAGGAAAGATCCAACAAAATTGGATGTGAGTAAGGCGCAAAAGAAGGATATAGCTTTAAATGAAGCTTTGAACATTGTTACACCAATAGCTGATGAAAATGCTGAAGTTTTGAACATTATTAGTGCTAAAAAGAAGACACAAAAGCCAACAGAAATACCTCTTGGTGTTCGATTTGATAATCTTACAGTAGGAACAAGTAAGAAGCCAAATGCAAAGAAATTAACCCACCAATTAGTGCAAGGATTACACGGAAATGATGCAACTATCCTCAGAAATGTCTTACGTCAAACAGATGAGGAGACTGTAAGGCTTACGGTTAAATATCTGGAACCAAAATATGTTATGCCATTTGTAAATGAATTATCATTGTTAATGTCGAAGAAAACAGCTGGATCTGAAATGGCATTAACTTGGCTCCGACATTTAATTCAAACACATTCAAGCAGTTTGATGAGCTATGGGCATATCAATTTAATGAACACATTTGGAACGACTCTTGGCATTATCGATCATAGAACACAAAATTTGTCTGGACTTATGCGATTGAGAGGAAGATTAGACTTGCTTGTTGGACAATTGAAGCAAACTAGCGATTTTGATGATGAAGTTCATAATGAGAATGTCCTTGTTTATGAGGATTCTGGTATGTTGACTTGATTATTTTGTTAACTGTCATTTTAAGCTTGAATTTTGACGGTTATTTTAAATTTGAATGATTGATTCAAATTTTTGAAATCCGTTAAAATTTAAATTTTTAAAAATAGCTAAACTTTAAAATTAAAATTTTGATTCTTGTTGTAGACGACGAATCAAACAAGATGGATGCTAAAAGTGTAAGCTCAAATGAGGATATCTACGATGGATTTGAAGACGACGATGATGATGATGATGAAGGAATTAGAGATATAATCAGAAATGGCAAGCACAGCATCAGTCTAAATGATTCAGAAGGTCTTACAAATGACGAGGATTACGAAGAGATGGACATTTCATAAATCTATTGAATTGATTAACCTTTTATGTTAAATTGAAATAAAATAAACTTGAAATACATATTTCAAATATAAATCATAGATTTATTAAAAATAGAATTCAACCTTAATGGAGTACAAAGACATCCGTGCAGTCACTTAAACTTTTCCTCATCCTTGTATGGCTTCATAATTCCCCACAATTAGCTATAAAAAGACATGAAAATTTACTATTTTCTTTTATTCGAACTTATTGTGCCTGTGCAGCCACATTAAGTATAAAATTATAATTTTTCAATCAAGTGACGAAAGTTAAAAAAATATAAAAAGCAAATGGAAGTGAAAAATCCAATAATTGAATTGATGTTAAAATCATGCGATGTGGAATTGATGAAAAATTATAGTAACGAATTTTACGGTCCACTCCGTTCCAACGATTCGAAAGCTGACAATTTGGTGTCTTTGCATCTTGTCAGCTTAATTTTATTGCCGATTATAATTTTAACAAATTTTAATTTTGATAAAGAAAAGTTAAAGAATCGAGTGCTGTATGTGCTTGAATCGCCAGTTTTAAGGGAGTTCCTTTATGTGATAACTTGCTTTTTTGTATCGTTGATTTTTGTGCCCCTTATCTTCCTTATTGTCACATCCTTTAAACTTTATCGTGCTTATGTCTCGAAATGCCTGAAAGAAAACAAATCAACAGGATTTAAAGGATTTTTGGTCGGCGAAGATACATTTTGGGTATGTGAAGATGACAATGCAAAGGCAGTGATTAATGTCCTCGCATTTGTGAGCTGTAGAGGTGAAAATATGCACGAGAACTTGCTAACATCAATTAGAGACCGAATTTACTCAAAATTAATGCTTCCAAATACATTCCCAAAAATGTTTTATCGAAAGAAACGTGACGAATCTGGATATTTCTATTGGACTGATGAGAATTATCTGACTATTAACGAATATGTCAGATTTATGAACGATTCAAATGACATTTTCATCAGTGACGATGACTTTAAAGAACAAATGAGCTCAATTTGCAATCAATCGTTGCCAGCAGATCACTCAGCTCTTTGGGAATGTTTAGTCAGTCGGCAGGCAATTCAGTATGATGATGGCATTAAGTATCCTGTAAGTGGATTAATTTTTAAGAAATATTGAAAATTTAACGGATTTTTTAATTTTGAAAATTTAACGAATTTTTAAAATTCGAATTTTACGTACGTATTTTAAGCTAAAACAAGTAATACAATTGTTTCTAATTCAGGTCATCTTTCGAGTTCATCACTCGGTCGGTGATGGAGTTGCCTTGCTGCGATTATTCCTAGAAGCTTTAGCTGACAAAGAAGATGTAGATATAGACGAAAATCCAGTTTTGACGCAAACTGACAATTCATTCAATACGAAGTTTATGCGATTCCTTTCAACTGTCGTCACGTGCATAAAGTCTCCATCAGTGTTATGCTCACAAATGCAGAAGCAAATTGACATCAATAAGATTCATCCAAGTAAGCTGTCTGGAAATAAGGTGGGTATTGATGTTGTTGGGAGCTTTAAGTTTGAACAATTTGAATTTTTCAAAAGATTATTTAAACCATAGACCCCCTTAGAACCCCCCCCCCCCCCCTTAAATTTAATAATTAAATTACATTATTTTTTTTTATTACAGAAAATCAATTGGATTTATGAATCGAGTAATAATGACAACTATTCAACACCGCTCCTTACTGTCGTCAAGCTACTTAAACGAAAATTTCCTGGTTCCAGATTCTCGAATATTTTACTGTCTGCACTGTCTAAAAGCTTAAGGGATTACTTCATGTATAAGAACTCTGAAGTTCCAAAGGATATGACTGTTGTGATGCCAGCTAGAATATGTCATGAAAGTCCAACATTAAAGTTACGTAACAGATTCTCGGTGGCAATGCAGACAATTCCAATTGACGTGTCGAGAACAACTGAACGAGTTGAGAGAGTCAGAAGAAATTCAGATGTGGTCATAGCTTCACCAGATTACCAAGTCAATTACTTCCTAATATCTGTTGTTGCTGGAATTTTTCCAGATTGGGTGCTTAAAAACATCATCAACAGCAAGCATGCAACAATGGCAGTTAGTAATCTTCCAGGACCAAACTTTTCACTCAAAATTAATGGATTTGCATTCGAAAGTGTTGGATTCTTTATCCCTAATGTTGGTCAGACTGCATGCGGCATAACAATCCTGTCCTACAACAATAAACTTCATTTTGGAGCAATTGCTGATGAAAATTCTGTGGAAAGTGTTGAAGACTTAGGAATGATACTTGATGGAATGGTTAATGAGCTCCATGACATGGCTGGAAAGCTAATCATGTGAAATTAAATTATTAAAAATCAATTCCTTCATATTTTAATTTAATTTTATTACAAAAAGAAAGAGAACAGAAAAAAAATGATATTCCGGTAGAAATACAGCCAACTTGTTAGGAGGGCTTGAACTTGTGCTAGGAGGGCAATTTAAACATTTTTTAATTTTTAATTCCTGTTGTAAAACATTATTCTGTGACATGAAATGTAATTTAACTAGTTGCACATTATGACTCGCGTTATAAAAAGCAATTAACATGAGATTATTATCAAAATAAATGGGTTTTAGTGAAATAATAACAGCTACTAAACATCCATTCAGTTTTGATAATCATAATTTTTTTTGTTTTAATTATTTTCATTTAACATTTATTATTGGACGTACGTTAAATATTTTCAGAATTCAGGACAATTCGTAATTAGGAAAAAATAAGGAAAGTGGAAAATTTTTGGTATAAATTTTAACAGTTTTGTTGTTTTTGAATTTTTGGTTTGCTTCTGGATAGTTTAAAAAGCCTCCAAAACTTATTAAAATATTTTTAAACCCATACAAATGTTTCTAAAACCTTCCAAATGTTTTTGAATTGAACAGACCTGAAAACACTTCAAATGTTTTCAAATTCATTCCAAAACTTATAAACCTCACAATTGTTATTAAAACCTTACAAAAGATACCAAACAATTTCAAAACTATGCAAATGTTTTCAGAAATCAAATTTTAAAAAAGACGTTACACAACGAATATTTTCAAATCCGAAAAAAACCGTTAAAATTCAAACAATTAAAAATTTCCCATAATTAAAGTTCTAAATCACTCCGATCTCGTTAAGAATCACTATTTTATTAATATTTTTTTTTTATTTTCCATTAACGACTATATTCTTTTATTTAAACTCTAACAAATCATTATTCTAAATCTTCTATCAGACTTTGTTTTTGTGTATGCATGTAAATTTTTGTTTTATGAACTCTTTGAAAAAACTTGAATTTTTTCCTTAATTGCATTATTATTATTAATATTCATGTATGCACATTATTATCATGTTCACACAAAAAGAGATGCACTCGCTAGTAGTAATGATTGAGTGATTTTTGTGAACAATATCAATCTTCTTACTCCACTCATATCTTCTCCATTCCATGATGATCACTGAGCTATTGAACTCCAGCAGATTAATGTTTGATTAACTTTATACATTTTTTGTGATGTTTTGGTACAATCGACGGCACCACCAAAGCTCTAAATTGAATGGTTCGAAGTCGGCTGATGGACTTGGCTGATCGACATAGTATGTGTATGAGGATGATGACGACGTTGATGAGCATGTTGAGCCTGAGTCTGATGAGGCATCATATGGATTCTCAGCTATTACAAGCTTCCATGCTGCAAAGAAATCAAGAAAAAATTGTACAAATTAATAACATTGAATAATGGACCCCCAAGCAGGGTTACGATACAGGCACCTGTGCACAGGTAAAAACCGTACAATTCCTTGATAATTTGTAAGGTTTTATTAGAATTTGTATGGTTTTATTAGAAAAACCATATAAATTACTTCTTCTTCTTCTTAATTAACTTTATTATGGTCCATCAGCCTAATGCTATTTAAAGACCGTTTACAATTCCAGGTAGTTCAATTTACAAATATACACAAAGAAAAATCAAATTTTTGTTATGTCTCGATTGTGATCTGTAATTAATATGTTCTGCTGTATTCCGAGATGATCGATTCCTGTTTGTCAATGTTGATTTGTTGAAATCCAGTCAGCACCAATTGATTAATAGAATTGCCAGCGATATATGGGGAAACACACAAAACCCATCGCAAGACAAACTCTCCTCACAATTGACGATAATCCGTTGTATTCCAATAATATTCAATATGTCTAGGTTATGGTTATGATAGAACCTTCTTGTCCATGATTGTTGGTAAAACACAAAAAACCCACGTGAAACAATTGATTCTCCTCACATCTGCCGCCGATCGTGATTTGTCAATGTAATTAAATGTTCTTTGGTATTCCGATGATGATCAATTCCGTTTTATATTTTGTATTGGTTATGTGCAAAAATTTGCACCTTTTTTGTTCAATTCCAAAGTTTCTCCAAATTTAACTAAATCGCGACTTTTTTTGAGTTTTCTCCGTTGTTAATCTGTTCCTTAGTTATTTGTATGTACTTTAAACTATATTTGCTGTCTGGTTCCTACGCGTAAATAATTAACCCGAGTAGCACCAACAACAACAACTGGTTTTACGTCGACGTCAAGGCACCATCAAGTAGAAAAAAGCACGTCACGCCGCAAATTTACCGTTGTGGCAACGCTAAGGCTTCTTCACGCACGATTTCGCCCCATTATTTCATTGTTCAAATGGGGCGAAATCGTGCGTGAAGAAGCCTTAGCGTTGCCACAACGGTAAATTTGCGGCGTGACGTGCTTTTTTCTACTTGATGGTGCCTTGACGTCGACGTAAAACCAGTTGTTGTTGTTGGTGCTACTCGGGTAAATTATGGAAAATTGACAATTCCACAACCTCGTTGTTCGGAGGTCGGGAGAAAACTCACCATATAAATTATCAAGAAATTATATTGGAGCAATTCCGCGAGTAAAGGGAACTGAGAAAAAGCAAGTTGTAATATTTTTCTACTTGTAGTAATTTGAATTTTTTTTTCACCGTTACAAATTTTCAAAAGATTCAAACTAATTTTCATTGCCTTGATTATTATTACGATTATTACACAAAATTATGATGGTAACATGAAAAAAAACACATTAAATTTATATTAACCCAATAAAATGTTATTTTTCGAAGAGAAATTATTCTTAGCAATAAATAAATTTAACGGAAATTCAAAATTCAAATTTTCTGTTTTTTGTTGGTTTTGGATAAAGCGCTGAAAACTTAACCGATTAACGCAGTATTTTTTAATTTTCTCTGTGAATAAAGCATTTAAGAACAGAAAAAGTGTACAAATAAGTAGAAAAAGTGAATATCTATGGCTTAAAAATATACTTGAGCACAAAAAATGGATATTTGAAGACTTTTTTAAGGATATAAGAAGCGAAATTTTCGTAAACTTAACCGATTAACGATGAAAAAACTGAATTATTTCAGTAAATAGACCTTTAAACGTTTAATTACCTATTTTAAAATGAATATCTTTAGTTATTACTAATTATAAATTTTTAAAAGAACGGAAAAAGGTGTTATTTTAAGAGTATTTTGATCAAAAAGAATTTTACTTGCATTTTTTCACTCATGGAATTGCCCATTGTTCTCACAGGTGCCTGTATCACAACCCTGCCCCCAAGACACCCTTTATCAATGAAATGAATAAGTAAATTAAAGTCTCTCATTTTTCAGTTGCCATTGGTACAGAAGAAAATGTCAAAACATCCCAAAAATAATCTATCACATTTTATTTGCTCAAAAGGTTTAAAAATTCATCCTAACTCGTTTTTCGTATTTCATTAAAAAGTCACTGACTGAAAAAATGCCGCAAAAAATTATGAAACGTGATTTTGAATGTCTCGTGATAGTAAATCGTCAAATTAGCGAGAATTAAGCTGGATTAGCGGCAATTTTGCTGACATCATGTTATTAAAAATCGCACATCGTAATATGATTATGAGTATTAATTGCCTGAATGCTAGTTTAAATGGGTCGTTGCACTTTTGAAAGACGATGAGGGGGTCTGATACTTTGCTGACATACAGACGTAATCTAATTTGTTTAAGGTCGGTTTCCGAGATATTTAAGGTCCTCAAACTTGGAAACAAAAGTCGATTAAGTTCACTTAGAGATAAGCATAAATATAATTAGAGTGTGACTAGTAAATATGCCCCTAGTAGAGCTTAAGCCAGCACCAAGGGGGCGTTGGCTTGCTAAATCTCAATTTTTACAGACAGACATCCTTTAAGGCACTGTCAGTCTTCTGTATATTACAAAACTTCAATCTACAACTGTTGAGAAATTATCAACTGTCATTTAATATTCAAATTATATTTGCAACCACAATTAGTTGATTTTCCTTTTTCTAAGGTTGTTAATCCCCTACATATGTATTATTCTGTCTAATTTAGAACTTCAAAGAATAATCCTCTTTCTTATTCATTTATAATCCGTAAGAAGTTTTAATTATACTTATTAGTAATACAACATTGTTAATGTCATCTCAAACACATTCAAAGATTTAAGATTTTTGCAAATTTTTCAATTCGTAATTACTTTCCCACGACAAAAGTCAATTCCTCGATAATTAATATTAAATTTTAATGACATGCTTTCCTACTGTCCACAATTAATTAAATTATCATGATTTTCTCATTATTGCCTTCAATTTCATTGCTCGTCACGACGACTGAAGCTTCAACAATTGTCTGACCTGTTTGAACTTATTGAGCTATAAAAGTTGTTACCCCATATAGCGATAATGATTCTTATTTACATGCAAATTCAATTCTATTCGTAAATGCTATTCGTTCGTCATCATAACAAGGTCTACAAGGCAAGAAAAAAAATAGAATCAAGAAGAAACGAAAAAAAAAAAATCAGAGTCTTGAAAGTGATAATAACAACATTTTCGGACCAAACACATGTGCTGTGCCTTTTTATTTTCGTTTCACGATTTTCATTTTCTATTTACACATCTGATTTTCTCGTACGTAAGAGTTGTGGATGTGTGACAGTATGACAATCAACTACAGTCACATGTGACACTTAGAAATAGACTCTAAATCACTAAGTTTGATCTTTGGGTATGAAGAGTCGACGGTAACCACGTTTTTGTGACTTTCTTTGTAATTGTATCGGGGGCTTGTCACATGATATGCAGTCGGAAATTCTTGATCGTGTAAATTTCGGTCATTTTTGGATGTAAAATGTCAAAAATATAAAAGTTTGTAGATAAAAATTATGACTTGGTCTATTTTTTTGTGTCCTTTGCTGTTTGATTCAACCTTCGATTACGATTGCTGTACTAATTTTAATACGAAGGTCGGACAAGTAAAAATTTTCATTCTCATTGTATTCATTTCTTTTTCATTGTTGATGTGTAGGAGATTTGTAACGAAATATGCTGAATATTTGTGGGATTATCAAGAGAATATAAGTAATCTAAATCTTCTAAGTTGTTACATTCAAGGTCTATCCGTCAATATCACACTGAGAATTCGAATTCAAAGCAACAAAAAAAAGGATGTAAAGAGGGATGAAGAATGTCAGTCATATGTTTGCAGCATAAAGTGTTTCTAGAAATTTCTTTCTACCTCTCCTTTATTCCCTAATGTTTTACAATTGTCTAGTCCAAATGAAACATTTGTAATATTTGTTGAAATCATGAAATAACTTGACTTCTGTGATGCATCTTACTTGACTATAACCATAGCCTCAGACACTAACAATGTTGGAAGATAAAATCACGAGAGTCAATATCGACTTATCAACTCATGATCCTTATCATAAAATAATAAAAACTAATCAAACAAAAGAGAAGAGTAGCTTGATGAATTTATATAAATCACTGCCTTACTTTTTATCATTTTTAATGAAGATAAGGAACGCAAGATTTCCAAAATATTTCAAGCGTGATTTGTTTTGTCATCATATTTTTTTGTTGGATGATTTATTGGACCTAAATTCGTCTACTTTCACTTTTAGTTTGAGTAAAGCAGCTTAAAAAATATTAATTTCTTGTAAGAAAAGAGTAAGACATCAAGATAGATAGCTTCGTATCTCTTTGAGCTGAAAGTGAGTTTTGAGAGTCAATTCCTCTCCTCCTTTGGCTTTGCAAGCTTCTTTTTTGAAACCTTAAGTCATATCAGGTTAAAAATTATTTCAAGGTTAATTCTGATCACTTATCAAACTTTGGATAAGTCTAGAATAGATTTAGCAACACAAACGTCTCCAAAACTCATTCAATACTATTTGTTTACGTTTCCTAGACTAAAACTTCAATATGTCTTAGCTCATTGTCCCAATCCATCCCATCTAAATGTCAGACTTCAGCACAAACCACGAGAAAACCTAAAGTACTGCTAATCACACGACAATGTTTGCTTACAATTTATTGACTCAAATTTTTCCCAATTAATTAACTTATATTTCCAGGAACTACAACTATCTAGCCGTTATCTATACAACACCTAATATGATCATCAAATTATTTAATTTATATTGTTACTGATGAAGTGCACAAACAACAAATACTTATTTATTCCGGCAATCATTATCAATTTAACGACATAAGTATTGCATTATTGCTTATCTCGTGACCGATAATAAAGTTATTTATTCGCTATAATATCCAAATCAACTCACATTCATTCATATAACGTGCTAATTCCTCATGCTGCGGACTTAGTATCTCCTGACTCTGTTGGTAATGCTGGTGTGATTTCATGTAATTATGTGATTTCCTCTGTTGAAAAACTGGCTTAGGTACACTGAAATTCAAAGAAATAGAAGAAGAAAGTAATCGTATGAACATGTGAAATTTAGTATAATATACAGTTCAAATAGAATTTGGTGCTGAAATTCAATGTCGAAAGGTTAAAATTTATATAAAGTTTCCTTAAAAAAGTTTCATTGAAAATTTAAAATTCAAATTTTTAGACCAAAAAAATTTTCCACCTCAAAAAGTTTTTTGCAAATTAAATTACTTTAATTAACACTTTAAGCTTGCCAATGATTTCTAAAATATATAAAAACTTGGCAAGAACTAATCTCAATCTTTGATTTACCTCAGTTTAATGCCTTTAAATCAAAATTATCAACTTTAAGATCCATCCACCCAAAAAACGTGTTTTTCAAAATAAAAAAATAATTTTAGAGACAAATTGTAACAAGACCTTGTTTGACTTTCCAATAAACAGGTTCAGAACTGAGATATTTTCGAAATCATAACAAGCAAACATGAATAAGCCATGCAATGCTTATTTTTACATCCAAAAGTGATTCTATCACGAAATCAAAGCAGGCAAAAAATTGAAAACAAAATGATACGTCACATCCACACATGACTATAGGACGCGCATTAAATGAAATAAACCTTTAATTAAATGAAATTTATATTTTTTTTTCTTATCAAATAAATTCACTTTAGAGAATGGGAGATGAGACGAAGATGAAGAGCAATTTATGCTGCATCAAAACTCGTTATTTGCATGGGAACATTTATTACATGTCTGTTACAATGTTGATCTTCTTATTCCATATTTCTGTAGTGATAAAAAGATTTTCAAATTTCTACCATAAAAAAACATTTTTTTTTTGTTTTTATTTATTTTTATACTTTTCACTTTTTAAGACAGTGATGTGAATGCACTTTCGTAATGGATTTTTAAATGAGTCTGATTGAGACAGAAAAAAAAATTTATTTCATTTTGTGCTCAATTTCGAATTTAAATTTCAAATAATAAAAAGAACGTGAGAAATTTGCAAAATAAGGCAATAATTCTTTGACTTAATTTGTTTATTCTGTTGCTGAACATTGAAAGTTTAATGCAAAAAGGATAAATTGTTTGATTTTGTTGCTTTGTTGACTAGACATTCAACAGAGTTTTAAATAATTTATTTCTATTTTAGAAAGGGTTTTTGAGAACCATTCAACAGCTTTGAATTCGTAACGGAATTTAAAATTTAAATTAATTTGTTATTTCTTAAAACAATTCAACAGTCAATAATCTTGAAAATGAAAAGTATTGAAACCTTTTATTAAAACCATTCAACAGCTAATAGTAACCTTTCAATAGTTTTAAGTGTTTAAAAACCATGCAACAGCAGTTATTATCTGTGATTGAGTGTAGTTTAATAATTTTTATTTAATCCATAAATTTTGATTCTTGTAATAGTTTAATTTATTTAACTTATAATGTCTTACATGTTACGGATTTTTAAGAAATTTGTAGCGTGCTACACTCGTTCACGACTTAAAAGTAAATGAAAGAATCTACGTTACTGCGCCTGAATGTTCAGGTGCATATAAGTAATTGTAACGAGTAATTTGAATCGAGTGCAGACGTTACAAATGATATGTAAATAACAAATTGTATAATATAATTAATCATTAATTTTAGGATAGTTTAATCAATTAACAGTTATTCTAAATAGTAGATTTAATGTAGAAATTAAGGAATTATTCTTAAAATGTCTCAAAATTTCAAATGCTTCCGTAAATGAGCATTAAAACAAATAACAAAAATATTAAAATGTCAAACTTTACAGCCTCGAAAAATTTCTAAATTAATTGCCGTGAACACATTTCACTTCATGCTTGATTTATGACACAAAAATGTTTCGAGTTTATGCATTATTTGTTGCATTTGTGCGTTGAAACTCAAAAATTTTTCCCGAATGTTTGTCTTGTGTAGTAAACAAAGAAGAAGCTCAAACGGCCTGTTTCACTAAAGTGGATTATCCTCGATTTCGGATTATCCACTTCAGTTTTTTGGAAATATCTCCAGACGCTTAAGGTTATTAAGAAATCTAATGTGTGATCTAGTTAGAGTATTTTGCTTCTTAAATTAACATAAACTTAGAACTTTTATATCTTCACTAGTTTGAGAATTATAGCAAAGATCGAAGATAATCTACTAGATTTGGCTAGAAAAATGAATAAATAAAACTTCTTAACGAAAAGTAAAAGTTTAAAGTGTACAGAAATTTCAGACATACTTCACTCTATTATAATCCAAAATTAGAAATACCACACCTCCCATAAAGTTTAAGATATTTACAAAAAACTGAAGTGGAAAATCCGAAATCGAGGATAATCCACTTTAGTGAAACAGGCCGAATGTGATGCAATCAAAAGGCAACTTAGGAAATTGAGCTGTCAATTATCTTTAAGTACTTTTGGTTCCTTTTATTATCTTAATATTTATACTCAAATTGAAGTTGGTAGCAAAGAATCAAATTATACTTGTTTATAGACACAATAGAGTTAATAATTCCCAAGCACATGATACAAACGTAGGACAAATAAATCAAAAAAAATGTTGTTTATCACAAAACAATAAACAAAAAAAAAGTCGCCAAGGTCATGCAGCAGTTGAAACTTTTCCTTCTCGAAAGTATTTTTTTCTTTCTTATGCTTGCCTTTTCATTTTTGGATTTACGTTCTATTTTCCGATATTTTCCCCTCAATTTTAGTCAAAAACAATTTTTTATAAGTCTAAATTTAAACTTCTTGAATAGAAAAGAAATTGTCACATGACGAAAGTTTGTTCCTCAACCGGCGTCTTTTGTGTACTTGGCACTCACAAGTGCATCAACAAAAAGTCCTTTCACTCCACACCCGGGTTTTTGATGCGTTATGCAATCAACTTTCATTCACAAAAATATCAAAAACGTGCGGCAAGTTCTGTTCTGTTCCTTTCTTTTCTTTTTTCGCTGCTGTGTGTGGAAAATTTTATTGATTTTTTTTTCTCTACTCTCAATTCGACTTCCTTATGAGAGTTGTATAAGATATAGTTTTTAAGATTCAACATTGATTACAGCACACTACACACAAATCATTGAGATTCTCACCTGAATTCACTGTTATCACTGGCACTTTTTTTACTCATCTCGCGTATCGTTTCAATTTTCTCGAAATTCTGCGGAAGTCCTGTTAAAGTGAAATTTTTATGACATTTAAAATTAATCCACAATTATTATTTAATAATATTCTGTTCATAAATTGTCCACAAAAAGGCTTTACCTCGTCGGGTTTTTGTTGCTACTAATTTGCTTGGTGCTTTTGATATTGTGTACATGACAAATCAATTAATAAATACAATAAAATTATTTGAAGCAAAATAAAAATGATTCTTGTAAGTTTTGATTGAAATTATAATTTAAAAAAAAAGAATTGAGTAGATATTGTTACACAACACTGTGGAAACGAATAAAAAAAGTTTAAGTTCTCTTCACGTTAACGTCAAAAAAGCGACTGAAGAGAGAGGAAAGGAAAATGTGTATACATGCTAGCTGATTTGCTGAACGTCTTCATGTTTTGTATGCCGCTTTGAGATTTTTTGGTGATTTTTCGGTTTATTTATGTTGTCAGTTGGAAGTGATTCGAGAATTTGTGTCAGAGATATTTTTAGAATCAGTCAAAAGTTCTGGATTGTTAAAAACTTTCTGCAAAATGCCATACATACATGGGCGATTCTCCAGATAAAAATTTTCAAAAAACCAACACTAAAATGAATTTTTTATAATTTTTTTCCATTAGAGAGCCTCGAAAGACAAATTAATATTGTACAACTTTTTAAACTCTACAAATCTGTATAATTAAATGCTTTCAATATACTCTAATTAAGGAAATATTTCGATTCTTCGGACGATTTCTCGAAGACAAAATATGGAATTTGGATTTTTATAATCAAAAATTAAGTATTAAAAACTATTCTTTGACATATGATATAAATACCAATCGATAGAAAACGAACTACTTTATCATATATGACAACAATTTTATTAAGCTTAATACAAATTTCACAAGAAAATTCAATTCTTTTGATGAAAATTTTGACTTCGAGTAATTTTTAAAGCGCTTGAAACTAATTTGTGAGATTCAAATTTTTCAAATACGTTATAAATTTAAATGGAATATTTTTAAAGGAAATGATGATTGAGTGCAATATTAATTATTAATTACCCTTTGTTTAATTAAAACATATAAAAAAATGATTTTTATAAATTAAAACAAAATTTTATTTTTGTAAACAAGTCTTTGTTTACATTTTTCCCAACGTATTTCAAAAATTTAAAAATTTCAAGTAGCAGTGGAATTACAGTTCTGTTTTTAAAAATTCAACCTATCTGGAGAATCGCCCACATGTGAATTTTCATAGAATCTTGAAAACCTTAAAATCTTGGAAGAAACATTTGTGAGGTTCTAGTTGGTTACTTCATTTCTCTGCTTGACTTTTTGCCATCAAGTTGAAAGAATTTAAAGGAACATTTTTGATTTTTCAAAGCAGCATTCAAGTATTCATCTCTTCTGTATGCACTTCTTCAATATTTGCTTATTTTGACTTGATAAAACTTTAAAATTTGCAAAAATTCTCTTAAATTTGACAAGTTTATGTGAATTTTGAAGAAATTCTGATTCCTATTTTCATACTATTGGTATTTTAAAACATCTAGCAACAGCTTTATCATCTTTAAAGTTGAGTTGACTTTTAACAATCTGAGTTTTGGTGCGTCGACATCCAGTTGATAAGGTGTTCGATTTATACCATTGAAGACGATTGATTCTAGACATTTGTATGACTCAGAATAGATCAATGCAAAGTTCCTAGCGATCATTTGTTTTTCGAACTACCCTTGATGGCTAATACAGATCTCTATTGTGACTGTTTTATTAATTTTGTTGATGACTTTTCACTGATTTGTGATTGGTTTATACCTGTTCTTACATTGAGCTTGAGAAATGTCGAGTTTGAACACACGAACATCATATAATCTTTCCTCTTGAATCATAATATCCATTTTATTAACTACAGTTCTAATCATGTATAGTTAAAATGAGCTTTAACAATTCCAATCATCAATTTTTCTTATGGTAAGACTTTAAAGCAATTCATTCTCTAGATCAGCATTTTCTATGCTCTACTCAGTTAATATCACTGAACGACATGCCTGTTTTGGTGTTTTGCCTATAATATTACTTGCTGGATCTCACTTAATCCAATTTTTGTCGATATAAAATGCTTAGTGAGCTTTAATTATGAAACCAGTCACTTTAGAAGCACCAAGTGAGTCACTTCTTTCTTTCTACACTTTATCATAGCTTCCATTTTAAATCGAGTAATTTTGAAGTAAACCTTGAATTTTTAAAATAAAATAGACTCCAAATATATCAAAAAATTTCGCTTAATTCCTAATTTTTCATCCTTACAGATCTAAAAAAACTTTAAACATGCTTCAACTTGTTCTGTGTAACATTTTTAATTGATCAGTAAGTGTTATATACGTATGGATTCATATTACAAATGGACCAAATACATTTTAAATTGTTATGTATCCAATTCGACAACCACGTTTCAGAGAGAAATACTATAAAAGTATAAAGAAATTAATGAGGAAGTGATGATAAATCAGGTAGTTGTTCATATATAAAAGAATTTCTTTTATCACAAAGAAAGGATTAATGATAATCAGTAACTTTTTCATTATTTTTAATATTTGAGTATTAAGTTCTTAATCCATATTCTCTTGTCTGACAACAGGTTCTGGGAAATTATGGAAGCTATCCTCATTAACAAGCCTTTGCCTCTCTAAATACATTGATACTCTAAGATTCCTTAACTGATGATTATTTACTAATTTTAAAATAGCTAAACTTGACAATACTGCAAATGTTGCGAAAATTCCCCAGGAACCAAACTGAGCGACTCCCATTCCATTATAAAACCCAGCTGTTTGTATCAGAACGTCTGGTTTTGTTATATTTTGTCCATCGGCTGTTTCACATGATGGAAATCTCTCATTCATTAAGCCGCACCAAATGATGAATCCAAGTGTAATAAAAATACTTGATGCTAAAACCATAGCACAGCATATTAGAGATACAGCAGAGTCCAAAAATAATGCCATAAAGGAACTTTCTTCCTCTTTGTGATATAACATTGCGATTCGATAAATTTGTAGACTTGAAAGTATAAAGACTGCAAAACAATGAAACGAAATTATTTCCGAATAAGAGATAACGAGATTCAGCGAATCGGAAACAAATGATAAATTAACATACTTAATATTCCAGTTATCAGAGGAAATACGCAATAAAATTTTGATGCCCATGAAATGACAAGCAATCCATCTTCTTGAGACCAATTTCCACCAGAAAACAATAAGCAATGTCCACTAAAATCAAACGTTATGTAAAATATGAATTTAAATTAATTAAGTTTTTTATCGTGAATCACTTACTCGAAATGTATTTGATGAATAATTAATGGTATTGTAAGACAGACTGATAAAATTAACGAAAACACATGCAAACTAATTTGACCAAGGAGAATCTTATGAGAAAGCGTCATTTTCTTAATTAAATATATGATATTTTTAACAAAATCCAAAAATTAAATTGTTTCTTGTTTATTTTTAAATCCACCTATACAGGACAATGTATTTTGAGCAATTTGTTGCTTTGTTGAGCTACAAAATGTTTTTAAACTTATTAAAGTTGTTAAACTTACAGACGTGCAGGCACAGAATTGAAAATTAAAAATTGAAAAATTAACGGATATAAAATATTTAAAAAAATAACGGTTAAATTTGATTTGAATGATTCAGTAAGAACCTTAAAAATGTTGTAAAGATTTTGAATTTGTAAGGTTTTGAATTCAAAATCAAGGAATCCATTATGATGTGATCGTATTAGAGATCATTTGCAATTATCCAAATTATTTGGGCCTCGTGACAAAAAAATTGTACGTGAGTGACGCTTTGTTATTCTCGATTATCTCCTTATCCTTAAAAGTGACAAATTCAAGAGTTATTTTTTTGAAAAGGGAATTAAATTCTCAATCTATTGTTGTACAATTCACTTTATGAAAGTTTACAGTTACTCGAAAAAATCACTTTAACTGAGCGTCACTCACGCACAATTTTTGGGAACTTTGCTATATCTTCATTATTGTTTGTTGATATATCTCCAAATGTATTTTTTTAGGTCCAAAATTCAATTCTGTTCTTTTTGAGTTCATAAAAAATGTTAAATTGCTGCATTAACATACCCAAATGGACAAAATTAAGTTAAAAAAAATTTAACGGTTAAAACTTTTTTGAATTTTTTCGGTTATAATTTGTTTGTTTACAAACAAAGTTGAAAATGAAATTTGAAAAGTCACGAAAATATCACTCAAAAATGATGTTAAAGCTCTTAAAATAGTCAGAACAGCTATTGCATCGTCTACTTTTCCTATTCAAATCATAATATTTGGGATTAATGATTGAATAATTAAGAATTTTGAGAATTTAATTTTTGATGTTTTGTTTGATAGTGTTAGTGAAAAATTCAAATTATTTTTTCCGTTAAGCAAAAATCCTTAAAAAAAACGTCGAGGCCCATTTCCATTTATTAAATGACTTCCCGTGCAACAAAGTCTAATAATCAAATTTTCAACGAAATGTACTTGACAAGGCTTATCAAAATTATGGTGAATTTCAACAGAGTATTAAACCAAATCGTCTGGTGCTCATAAAGTATTACGAGTCCACAATCGAGCACATTATTTATGACTTTTTTTTGTGAACCTTGCAATCACATGAGACATTTAATTATTTTTAACTTTCTGTGACATTTATGTCAGCTGATACAGTTCATTTATCAATATTTAAGTGAAATGTAAACAATTTCTTATCAGACTTAAAAAGAAGAATGTGTAAAAATTCGCAAGTAGAGAGATCTGGTTGGAAAGACAAAAAAAAATTGATTATCATGGACGTGTCATAAAAGAGTAGCTGATAAGTTAAGACATTCATGAACTCATCGACAACAATAATTGAGTAAACAAAAACAAAGTAATAAGAAATGATAAAAAGAAGCTTAATACAATGCAATTGAATTTTTTATCATAATTATTATTATCGACTATGACTGAACGCTAGGAAATTAAATTCCATCGTGTGCAGAGTGTATTGACACAAGAAACATACAATCTTTTGGAAAACGTGAGCGAGAAAAGGTTTCAAAAAATTTATAATCTTATCACAAATGAATTCGTAAATAAATATTGAATTTTGTACTTAAAGTTTCTTATTTTTGTACAAATCCGACTTAATGAATACGTGATTGCACTATGCTTTGGTGACTGACTAAATGGCTGGCTCGTGATTTAGTCATTTTCCTATTTTAATTTGTAAATTAAAATAAAAGCCGTTAAAAATTCCTAAGTTTTTAAAAACAAGTAAAATGTGATTTTCAAAAACCCTTAAAAATTTGAATTGAAAAAACCCGTTAAAATTTAAATTTTAAAAACCTTTTAAACAACTTACAATTCCAAAACTGCGTTCATATCCTATCGATCAAAGCACGAGGCTTTTATAATTTTCTTTCTTCCTCTCCCGCTCGCATGTATGGGTATTTAAACATATATGGCATAATAATAGTTGATATAAGTGCCTCTGAGCTATTTGCCTTAGATTTTCTTCGTTCCGACACTCCGTCTGAATGCATAAAGACGGAAGAAACAGAAGAAAAACTTCCTCATGTACTTCAACTTATTCCACTTATTGATTTTAACCTTTTAATTGGATTAGTAAGATTGTATTGTAAACTTATGTATTTTTGTGCTTTAAATGCTCGAGCATCGTGAAGGGACTGCATATAAGATGCATTGCAACATAATGTTTGTTCATGTGTGATTCCATTTTAGTCTCAATATTTCATCATAATTGACTTTTTGATTCAGCATTTTAATAACTTTAGTGGTAACGAACTGGGGATTATTATTGACCTATAAATGCTTAGCTAATGCCTTTTCAAGTACTGCAACTTTGTTGAAGCTAGTCGCGATTTTGTTGATAAATTGTCTGCTGATTTGATTAGGATTGCATATTGAAGTTTCAGAGTCATTGAAAGTAAATGCGGTTGAAACTTAGATTCTATTGTGATAGGTCGTAGTCAGAGTGTGTATAGATCATTATACATAGTACATACTAGGGTCCAGTAAACTACTAAATAAGCGAATTGAATCTTTATTAAAACCATTAAAACCTTGATCTATCAAATTTCAATCACAATTTTCAGCTTAGATATAAAATATACATTTTCCACCTCGGAGGTCTATCAATGTTTTCATATGGTGTAAAAAAGGAAAAGAATTCTTTCCCGATTGTTATTTTAATATCAATCACTCGAGCGGCAAAAGGAATTTCTTTTTTGAAAAAAGACAACAACATGCATTATTTACACAAGAAATAGAGGAAGAAAAAAATATTGAGTTAAAAAATATCGAAATGTTAATAATGCGGGGCGAGTGTTAATAATTTTGGGGGAAATGTGTCTTTTTCAAACGAAGAGAAAGAAAAATTGTGAGAAGTATGTAAATTTATTGGTATTTTGTAGGTTTTGAAGCATTTTCCTTGCTTTCACTCAGTCAACTGTCAAAAAATTTAAAAGTATGTAAAAACTTCGCGCAATTTTGAATTTCACACTTGAACTTTTGTTTTTCGATTATTGAGACTAATTTATAGAAAATAAGCATAAAAATGATCCAAAAGAATTTAAAAAAGTGGCAACGATCAACTGGTGCATTTATAACCACATTTTCTTGCGCATAAATAATGAAATTTTAAAATTTTCAATGAAAATTTTAATCTTTTTGTTTATTGTAAACATTTTTAAATGACCAGATGGAGACTTTATGGATTGCAAGAGATCTAGAAGAAGACCAAAGATCACCTGGATAGGATGTGTTGATAAGGACGCTAGAGTCGTCAATATACCCAACTGGGACAAGGTCTCAAAGGATAGAGCTGTCTTTAGACGATCTCTGAACTAGGCAATGGGATCCTTAACTTTAATTAAGAATTTAAAAAGGAATTTGTTACTAATTGCTGCTCTAGAGACCCAAAAGATCCAAAATAATCACATCAACTCAAAATCTAGTCATTTAGTCAAAACAAATACAAAAAGATAACCATCAATAACATCTAAATCAGAAGCTAATAAGAAACTTTTCTTTTGTATATTTTTGAAGCAATTAGCTAGAGTCAGAGATCGAATTTAGGATTTTCTTTTCTTTGTGATGAAACAAATGTTTTCGTTCCTATACATTCACCTCTGTATAATAAAAACAATAAGAAGATTTCCTTCAATCTACAAATCATGTCTATGTATGTTAAATATGATCAAAAATCAATTAACGAATCAACATGTTTAGTCTGTGCTGTTTAATTTAATTTAAATTTCAATTTTCTCCACTGTGGATTGTTAAACGTACCTCATGTACGAAGCGCCGCAGCTAAACATGAAATTGCTATCGACACAAAAACACAAGAATTTCAAATTATTTGATTGAAATGAACTAAATGCGGTGCGTGAATGTTTTTCGGTGAAAGAATTTTGACAGCAGTTAAAAGTGATAACAGACATATTGATCAATATTTTTTTCCCTATCTTATCACATTTTTTTCATACTGTATGTACGTAAGTAAATTGAAATATCACAAAAATATTTACTTAAGTAATCAACTAGTCTAATATTTCATTAAACTGCACATTTACTACCCAATTTTTCACTTCCACATGTGATTTGAAGCAAGGCACAAAGTTTGTTGAGTAATTTTTTGTGCAAACATTAAAGAATTAATCTTAGTTTGTGTCTGTTCCTCAAATCTTTCCTTTTCACAACTTGTTGTTGCCTTTAAGGGATGAATGTATGTTTGTTATATAGACACATCGTGTGCATTTAAAATACATTTTAGTCATTGTAGCTTTTGTTTATCTTTGCGGTTTAGATGTTTGAACTTTTTTCCCATCAAAATAAATATCAAATTTCCCGTAGTACGATTTAACGCACAGTTAGGAATATTGTCAGGGATGGATTTGAAATTTCTAGGATTTAAGAATTGTGTTTAGGTCGATGACATGTAAATTGGCTATGTTTTGAACGTTATTGATTTAAATTGAAGAATTTTCATCGCTTTCAGGCTTTAAAAAACTTTAACCAAAACCTGATACTAACCAGAACCAGATCTCTCAATCATTACATGCCGTCGTTTTGACAATTGTCTGCATAACCAAAAGAAGAAAAGCTAAAGATCTGTATTTAATAAAGTCCAAAGACAATCCAAAGACTTCAATTCGAGACATAAACAAAAACATTAATTAGTCATTCCATAATCCCAAGAGTCGTATGTTATTTAATCACCAGAGAACTTCGCACTTAATTATTAATCTTGGCACACACCTCGTTCACTTATCGTTCACGTTTTTTTAATTCGATGGTTGTAAAAAATTAATTTACGATGTTGCAACCTAAAAATAATAAGCTGCTGATTGACAAAATTCACAAACCTTAAGTAAAAGATGATTTGGATGAACGGATGGTCAGTAAGCAGTCTTAATTGATATATTATTGACTTACAACATTCAGAATCTCTTCTTTATGATGTGATTTAAGGAATAAGTCACAAGTAGCTTCGATTTCAATTGTAATTTATGAACTTTTGCTAGTTGTAAGGTTATATAAGCTTAAAAATTTTTAAAAATGTAAAGTCATCCCCTAAAGCTAACGAGAGTCTTTAACTGTACATATCCTTCAAACTCTGCAACAAACGATCCTTCTAGACCTATCGCAACAATCATCAACCAGACAAATCGTGCACGAGATTGCCCTACTTTTAATAAAACGTGTACAAATAATTGTAGCGCATTTCCACAAATGATTTTTGATAACCTTCCAAGATAAGCTTAATATGATTATAGCCTGTCGAAAACTAGATTTGTCAAGTTAAGGTTTGCTTCACATTATCAATTTTTTGTGTTTTGAAATGAAAGCTTAATTTCAATGACTTGTACCGATGTCAAAAACAAAGTAATTGAGATCATGAGAGTGAGTAAGTGTTGTAGGATGATGGAAAATTTTGGCAAGATTGCATGATGAAATATTGGCTAGACTTTCATGGTCACTAGTAAGTTATCAATTTTGTTATCTTTGGTTTTGTTGAGATGACTAAATTATTGAATGTTAATATTATCAAAAGATTAAACCAACCTTATATCACAACCAGACTCAAAAATCCTTGCAAATCATGATAGACCTTCAATTCTTTATCTCCTAAATCCACCCCTCATCACATTTACGTCTATTTATCATTAACTACCACATCAGATAGAAGATAGAGGAAAAAAAATGTCCTTAATTACTTGTGTAAACATTTGAACGTCAAGTGGATAAGCTTCCTGCAAAAAGTATTCAATCAAAATAATTCTCAAATATCAAAACACGAAGACAAACATTTCATCCACAGTATGCTTAAAAAATGGTTATATAGATATATTTACACATTGATTCATTATTTCTGTAAAATATTTTCATTGCATTTTTTCCATCAACATCTAATATTTTATTAGATGAAACATTATCGGATACTGTAATTGATATTTTTTTCACATCTGCACTTGATGCTCATTGGCAAAACACTTTATCCAATGAGAGTGGAAATTTTGTGCTTTCTAGATGGAAAAATTGAGATTTTCACTGCTACAGCGCATGAGAAAAAGTTGAGATACAATGATTTTTTTGGTATACAAGATCGCTTACAATAAACATCTGTTAGGATTTGTTTAGAGGTTTTAGAATTTAATCCCGGCGTTTGATTAAAAAAATGGCACAAGTTTTATCAAATTCTTGTTTTTTGATTAGTTATCTCAATGTGATATTAGATGATATAATTTTTCTTTGTTTCTTATCGCAATTACTCATGGTGACACAATTATTTCATAGCAACTTACTGCTGATAAACAAGTTTTTAATTCTAATTCCAGTTTTTAACAAAGTCTGGAAAATCTTTTAAGTAAGCTTATAAAATAAGGTATTTAGAATATCGAATATGAAGCTTGATGGAAGCTTCTTTTAAGGTTAAATACGAATATAAACAAATTTAAGCTGAATTGTGGGGAAAAAAATTAAATTTTGCAAATTAAACCTAAAATTGATTTAATTTTAATAGCTTACCTTTAGCTGTGCTCTTTTAGGTTGTACCAATATGTTGATAAATAGTAAAACAGTGTTAATTATTTAAAATTCAATAAAAGTTTGCAAAAAATTGAATTTTCAATTGTCTCTTCCAAGATGACTGAGTTTTACTAGAAATTTTAAATTTCAAATAACCGGTAAAATGTTTCATTATATGATCTAAGTAAAAATAACTCTACAACAAAAAAATAACTCAATATCAAGCTTTACTAAGGCCAACAACCCCTTAAAATATGTTTTAAACATTTACAACCCCTAAAAAAAAGATTGAAAAAAAACCATAATACATCTCCTTATGAGCTCCACCCACGAATTGGAAAACTTTCTTCATAAAAAACGATCTTTTTGGTTTCATCAGCAAATGTTGAAACAATTTTCTTTTGTGTGTGGCTAAAAGAAAGATTTTTTTTTTGTATATTTTGATTTCTAATGGAAAAAAAATGAGGAGAGAAAAAATCTTGTGAGGATGATACACATTAGACGTTTAATGTAGATTAGTATCATCTGAAGTGAAAAGTATCGGCTGGCAAATGGCTGATGAGTGCATGAATAGGAAAAATATATAATTCGGTCGACCACCAATGTTGAATCATTTGTGTGGCAATCTTCATTGGGATAAGGATTAGAAAAATAGTCAAGAAGAAGAAGAATTTTTTTTGGATATGGATTATTAAATTTGTGAGATTTAAGAAAACTTTTGTGGATGTGAATAGTGCTAATAAAATTATGAAATTAAAATATAGTTTAAAAAACATGTTGAAAAAGTCAAATAGTCAACTTAATCAGCAAATCTCTCGAGTTCCCAAGTGTGCGAGGTGATAACACATTGCTAATTGTTTCTTATCAAAATCATGTCAAGAACAGTCAACAAAGTTATAAATAAGTTATCAAATAGTTTACAAAGATTTGAAATTGTTGATTAGAAGCACTCAACTTTGCTTATTGTGGATTTATTTTTATTGTGTTGTTGTGTAATATGTTTTGTGACGCAAACTTTAGGTCTCCTTACACTGTGCTGATTATGTTAAAATTTGTAATATATCCGTGTAATTCAATGTGGCAAAAGGAAAATTTTAATTTGATTATTTTTATGGTCATTTCATGCTTAGTAATTCATTTAACATGAGTTGGAGTTTATGTAAATATAATCTTGAGTAACACAAACTGAATATGTTTAAATTTGTTTCAACAATGATTAGTATTTTAAAAACTGTTTGAATACAAAATTTTAATACGTTTCCCTCCAACCTTAGAAATAAATCCTTGATCAACAAGGATCTAGATTTTAGCTTAATAATACAAAAGATATCAAGATCAGAATTAGATCTTTGTGGTTAATATATCTTTTTAAACTTCAATCCAGATTATAATAGATCTTAGATCTAGATCTGAGAAGAACAGATCTAATTCTTTATGGATTAAAGCATATTTATCAAAATACATTATTTCATCCTTTATGAATTTAATGTTCTTGCTAATGGCTTAATCTTCATCTAACAATCAACCGATTTTACAATATTCTCAATTCCTATCAAAAATTTGCAGTTATCAACATAGTTGATTAAGACAATTCAATAATACAAACTTAGCTGTCAATTCAATAATTCAAGCTTAAAAGTTTGTCCTGATTTCTACAAGGCTAGTTTTATTTTCTAACAAATTAAAAAATAATCAATGAACGACGGATCAATAGACTTTTAACCCTTAGCATATAAATTCTTCCAAATTGTCCTTCAAGCTTTATTTTTGTCATACTATGTGTTCATATGCCGAAAATGTCGAATACTTCAAGTACAAATTCAGAAATGATAATCATTTTATCAAATGACAGCCAATGAATTTTTTTTTGCACACTTTTCAAGATAAAGTGTTGTGGCCAGACAGAAACGTTTTGAAATCTACTTTAATTTTTGGAATTTGATAAAAAGAGGGTAAAGACCTTGACGGGGATTTACTTGGTGAATGTAAAGTCTTAAAAAATTAAAAATGAACTTTAATGAGCTTAATGGATTTAAATCTACTCTGAATTCTATTAACATACAATTCTTCAAAACGTCAAGATTTAAACACTGCAAAAAATAGAATCTAAAGTTCCTTAATTTAGCTCATAAAAATATATTTTCAAGATTATTTTGTGCAAAAAATACTTGAAATATTAAATAAAAATAATATTTTTTCAACACCTTCACACAATGAAAATCAATTCTCAATGCACAACAAATGTGAACGACTCACCATGACCATATTTATATTTACAAACTTTTTTCTGTGATTTTGTATCTAATTTTTTTCACTTTGATTTTTCCCTGAAAACAAATTGCACGAATCTGACATAATTGCTCAATTGCTAAAAGACATTATAGATTTTATGTCAATGTCCTGCTAAAGTCAATTTAATTCTATTTTTTTAACAAGTCATTAAATTTTGGTATATAAAATAAATTTCCTTAATTAGATGCAGAAATCACGGTATAATTAGTGGATTACGAGGCCACAAAAAGCTGTGTACATATAAACATTGTAGATGTCCGAAATGTGACTTAATTTTCGAGCGACAAAGGATTATGGCTCAACAAGTAAGTGAAATTTAAATATTTATATCAAAAGATATGTGAAAAGATGGCTTATTATCTTTATACAAGCTTGATTATGATTAACTTATTAACGGTATTATTTTGAGAGTTCTTATGCAAATTGCAGACAATAAAAATTAATACCCTGTTTTTTCGTTATAAGCTACTACTCGTGAGTGACGTTTTGTTATTCTTGATTATCTCCTTATCCTTAAAAGTGACAAATTCAAGAGTTACTTTTTTGAAAAGGGAATTCCCAACCTATTGTTGTACAATTCACTTCATGAAAGTTTACAGTTACTCGAAAAAATCACTTTAACTAAGCGTCACTCACGTACAATTTTTGGGAATTTTGCTATATCTTCATTATTGTTTATTGATATATCTCCAAATGTATTTTTTTAGGTCCGAAATTCAATTCTGTTCTTTTTGAGTTCATAAAAAATTTAAAAATGCTTAATGATAGAATAATTAAGAATTTTGAGGATTTAATTTTTGATGTTTTGTATGATAGTGTTAGTGAAAAATTCAAATGATTTTTTCTGTTAAGCCAAAATATCTAAAGGGCAAGAAATTACGAAAGTAAGACAAAATAAGTTTCCATAGTTTAACGCCCAAAAAAATCAAATTTTAAAATTCCGTTAAAATTTCAAAAAAAAAATAAAAATTCCTTCAAAAAGTTCCAGAAACTTCATCTAAAGCCATTGATAATTTCTCAGCTAATTTAATACAAAGTGCGCTCTACGTGACTAAATATTTACAAACACTTCGCATTCCTCTTAAATAAACTGTATTAAACATGTAAATAAAAAGTTTGACGCAATTATCACGCGACTTACGATGAAAATACTGTAATTAATATAGCAAAAAAAAAACATTTAATTATATTATCAGGTGAACGATAATTGCTTTATTGTCGTGAATAAAATTAATTTCATTAAAATTGTTCCTAAAATACTTCATTGTTTGGGTGGAAAGCTGTTAAGTCAAAAAAATTCTTGTGTCTTTAATTTAAATAAATTTTGAAGATTAATTTTAATTTTTTGTATGAATGGTAGGAATGAATAATTCATTTAGAGCCCACTACAAGCTGAAGTTACCTTAACATTCCAGCTTAATGAGTGAACTTTTTTTTATCTCGATTGCATTGGCATTGTTTCTTCTTTGAATGGTTTTTAAGACTAGTTTCTTGTAAGTCTTAAGATTGAAAAGCTGTTTTGGATGCCTTTAATTGGAAGTGTGCTGAAATTGAAATTTTAAGTTAATGACTCGAAAGGATAAAAACTTAATTTTGTTCACATTTAAGGTTCGAATCCTACGGATAAAATGATGAATAATAATTGTTGAATATTTGTACCTTTAAAAGCTGTCAATTTAATTTTGAACAATTTTTGCATTAATTTTGTCAATTTAAATTGAACAACTCAAGAATATTAACTCAAAAATCGTAAATTTGCAATCAAAAACTAATAAAATTCGATACAAATTGACTTATAGATTGATAAAGATTAAAGACCATTGTGATGTTTTGACCTCAATCTTGAAAATCCATTAAAACATAATCACTTCAAATCATGCTTATTTCCTTAAATTAAATAAGAATATTGACATTTTAAAATAGCAAGTTTGTCGCTTTGAAAGGTTGAAAACAGTCCATTAGTCATAAAACAATCGAAAGTATATTTTTAACTTAATTTCTTTACAAGCTATTGAAGATACAATAAAATTTTTATTGGATAATTCCCCAACAGTCACATATTAAAATAATAAAGAGCTTATTAGCCTGCGTGATAATTTCATTTATTGTATTTTTGCGCACACTCATGTCATTTAATTTAATCTTTATAACCCTAGGTAGCACTTAAACGTCAACAAGCAGTTGAAGACGCGATTGCACTTCGTTTAGCATCGAATGAGACTGGAAAGTCACTTGAATCGCTACCGCCGGGAAAAATTTTTGGTATGAAAGTCACAGAACCTAAAACAGAATCGTCGCCATCACCTACAATTGAAGTACAATCTACACATGATGAGATGAGTAAGAAATCTGATTCCGTGTCATCCAGCACACCACTTGTGTCACAAAATGCCATAGAGATGCTTTCATCACTATTCCCACATAGGAAACGATCAGTATTGGAGCTTGTGCTGAGACGATGCGATCTAGACTTGCTGAAGTAAGCACAAATTCCTTAATACTAAATTGCAACTAATCATAACATTTTTATTTATTTCCGTAAAGAGCGATCGAACAGTGTAGCAAGACGCAACAACCATCACATTCATTAATTTCAACACGCGAATCTCCTGCATCTAGCCCTGAAATACAAAGTGCATTTCGGCCAATTGCATCATCGAAAACATCAATTACACCAACATTACATCAATTATCGGCGATTCCGACACAAAATCCGTCAAGTTATACGTCATTGATTGCATATCCAAATAAATGGTTCCTACCCATACCCGTTACTATGAGTCATCATCACTTGGCAAGTTTACCGCGCTGTAATATGGCAAATTGTACAATGTGCTTGCATCATCCTGCAACACTTTAAATTCCGGTCGATGGACAAGTGAAATTCGGCTTTTTTTGCACAACCAAAGACATGATGATGTACAGGCCAAAGCGGTAATATAATATGTGTCAAAAGATATTTAATAAACAAATTAATTCTATAGAAATTGCGATGTTTTATTATTGTCGGAATGAATGCTACATTAGAATAATAGATAATGAAATAAAAAATTTATGTTTAACAGTAAAGCAAGTCTATTGAAGTTTATGAAAGAAAGAACTAGCTACCAACCAGGTGTAGGATGATTCAAGGTGAAATATAAGCTATTACGTGCTATGTTTCATATTGTTCTATCTTTCTCTCTTCTATTGTAGAATCTTTTTTTGGAATATGAATAAATTTTGAGATTCACTTTGACTACCTGGGTTGTGAATGTGAAGCTTCCGCAATGATTTTTTGGATATTTCTAGATTTTTGAATTGATAAAAGTTCGCTATGTAATAATTTTGAATGTGAGTTGAGTTTTGTGGCTTTAGGAATTAAAGATTTTTTAGATGAATGGTTTATGATGAAGCAGCAAGTTGTTGAATTGAAATTTCAAGTTTGCCAAACTAGTCAACAGAGATTTGATCAATTTTTGATCATTTTTGAACATTTTGTTTTAAATTTTAGAATACTTTAACTAGACTTGTTTTCAAAATAATTCTTACTTTAATTAAAGATTCGTTAATTAAACCACACTAATCATCAATAGCTTCATTTCCAAAATTAAACAAACTCGTCGATTTCTAATCAATACCAAAACACAAAACAAATTTCCTTCAATATTATCAAGATGTCTTGACATAAACTTATGTCTAATTTGTATACAGCCGAACCTATCAATTTCTGCCATAACTGTGACACATCCAAAATGAAAATGTCACTCACATTCGTCATTGATGTTATTTCGTTATCTAGAATGTCTGATAATTGAGCTTATAATAAATCCATAAATCCACAACAAATTATCCAAGATTTTGAGATTGCAAACTGTTTATTCAATTAAATTACTGATAACGCTTTTACGACTAATACATAGAATGAGAAGGTTAATTTAATGTGGAGAGTGTAAACAGCTTTGAGAGAGTCAGACCTTCAGACTAGTGATAAGTTCAAAACAATGATAATCTGGTGATTAACTTGTTTAAATGATTAAGTTTTAATCAAGAGGGTTTAGATGAGATTTCTGGAAGATTTAATGATTAGTGGTTAAGTTTTGGATACTGTTTTGTTGTAGCAGGGATGAATATGAACTGAATCTGTCATTGTAAGACATAGAAGCTAGGCAAAAAATCAGATATCTGTAACATTTCCTAATGTATGAGAGTTGTGAATTTGAATTTTTTAAAGAATCAAATTTTTATCCTGCAATACAGAAATTCGCAATCTACAAGATCCAGCAAAGCAAATGCGCTGATTCCATCCAGCATAGAACAGTCTCGAACTTACATTAAATTATGCGTATGCTTCGTTTCTGCTTTATGATTGAATGTTTTTCAGGTAATTCTCTATTTAATTGTTTATCATGAAAAGAATCTCTTCTTATTCCCTGCTGTACTTATATCCATAGTTTATTTTCATTTCTTATAAGCTTTGTTAATTCTCGTAAAGATTTCCGGTTAATAAATTAAATTCAGTGCGAAATCTTTATTGCGATAAGGAATGAAAATAAACTTAGTTCAAGGAACATCCACGCTTAAGAGATAGAAATTTTATCAATGAATTATGTGCCCCAAAAAAATTAAAAATAATCAAAGCATGATCATGATTTTCATTTTACTTCTTCCTCATCGACCTCATGCTCCAATTTTTCTGTCATCAAAAATTTGCTGTGGCTTTAATTTCATCATGTCTCATATGACGCATTTGTAAATGAAAGTTCTTTATTATTATTGTCTTTAAAAATAGACTTATCATCTCAGAAGAGGTTCAAAGAATGTCTATTTTCTGCCGTGACTGAATCATATTTCATTCTTTACTGTCCCCATCCACGATTCTGCTACGCGACGCGATAATGGGATGAATTTTTTTTTAAAAAAAAGGAAAGGCAAGGAACTTTTGACTTTGATAACTTTCGATGACATTCCTTTTGTTTGTCCATAAACATGCCATACTTATTTCCTTTGCATTTAGGTTTAGACAATATAGACACAAATCTTTCTTGTTTTTTTATGTCGCAATTTAGAGTTACGCACATTTTAAAAAATTTAATCGCAAACAATCTTAAAAATAAACGAGTGGTAATTTCTTTTGACTGTATACAGTCATTACAATCATTATAGTCGTGAATAAATTTGTACGAAGATATTCAAGATCAGCTAGTAAAGAGATAATTGCTTGAGATGTGATCAGAGCGATGTTTTTATGGTGAAATTTGACTTTACTTGAATATTTTTGAAATTCATGGTAATCAGTTCTGTTATCAGGATGTTTGGCTAGGTCAAGAACACATTGAGTTGTAGGAACAATTTAAATTAAGAAATCTAAGTCAAAGAATTTTAAATTAAAATGAAATTTGCAAAACTGCTGATTATTTGGGTGAATTAAGGTTAAAACTCTAATAAGTCAGTGCTCCCAAAAAGCACAAGTCGGTCACGAGGAGAAATTGTCCTTAGGTCCTCAGTTTCGTCTCGGGTATTCGAATTGTGCTATTCAGGGTATTTTTCATCAAAATCTGACAGTATCCAAAAGTTTACCAACCAATAGACTTATCTTCATCAATACAGAACTTCACAGCCACAAAGTAACTCAGCCAAAGCATAAACATCACCAATTCAAATTTTGCAAAAACAGATCTTTTTTGCGACGAATTTTGATCGCACGATTTTTTCTTTTATTATTTTCTGTGAAATTAATTTGACCATGTGCTTTATCAGCCAGTCATTGAGACGAAAACGAACTGTGAAGAAGATGAAGAAGTTGAAAATATTTTGACTTCATTTACGTCGTGAATTTTTGGAACTTTAAGATTTTTAATTCTTTCATTATAAACATCAGCAATTATCAATATGCCATAGTTCGTAGTTGTGATGCGACGCGTGGTTTATATTTTTTTATTTGCAAGACAAGAAAGATTGAGGAAATGTTTATTTTAAACAACAGTTGACTAAATTTGAAAAATGAGAACGAGATTCATGCAAATGTTTGCGTTTTCGTTTCCAATTTCGCTGTTTGTTGCTTATTTTCTGATCGATTTCTCGGCTACGCATAAAATGTTTGAGTAGAAAATCGGACAATTAAGTGCTTTAATTTAATTAACATAGATTAATGGCATTTAATAAATCTTAATTGAATTTTTATCAATTCGATGTTCTCAACAGATTCTTGAGTTTAGGGAATCTTGTTATAATCACACCGTTTTCACGTGTGAATCTATTGGGTTTGTTCAGATTGAAAAATCAGATTTTTGAATTTTGTGAGGATATGGAGCAAGATAGCTTAAAATGTTCAGAGATGAAAAATTTGTGCCTTGAATTTCACATCTTTTGCAAAAAACAGAAAATTGGTCTGCTCAAATTACTCACACAATGTTTCACTGTAATTGGATAAACCTTCGAAGAAAAAAAGTGACAAAATTGATTTTGACTAGGGTCGCCCATAACTGTTAATTGTATTTGTTTTAAGCACCATAATATTTATGCAAAGTTTCAATCCATTTGGATAAACCCTCGAAGAAAAAAGTGACAAAATTGATTTTGACTAGGGTCGCCCATAACTGTTAATTGTATTTGTTTTAAGCACCATAATATTTATGCAAAGTTTCAATCCATTTGGATAAACCCTCGAAGAAAAAAGTGACAAAATTGATTTTGACTAGGGTCGCCCATAACTGTTAATTGTATTTGTTTTAAGCACCATAATATTTATGCAAAGTTTCAATCCATTTGGATAAACCCTCGAAGAAAAAAGTGACAAAATTGATTTTGACTAGGGTCGCCCCTAGTCCAAAATTGAAAATGTATTTCCTACTTGGTTCTTTGCTCAAAAAATTTTAGGACGTTTTATTTGTATTTGTTTTAAGCACCATAATATTTATGCAAAGTTTCAATCCATTTGGATAAACCCTCGAAGAAAAAAAAGTGACAAAATTGATTTTGACTAGGGTCGCCCCTAGTCCAAAATTGAAAATGTATTTCCTACTTGGTTCTTTGCTCAAAAAAGTTTTAGGATGTTTTATTTGTATTTGTTTTAAGCACCATAATATTTATGCAAAGTTTCAATCCATTTGGATAAACCCTCGAAGAAAAAAAAGTGACAAAATTGATTTTGACTAGGGTCGCCCCTAGTCCAAAATTGAAAATGTATTTCCTACTTGGTTCTTTGCTCAAAAAATTTTAGGACGTTTTATTTGTATTTGTTTTAAGCACTTGAATATTTATGCAAAGTTTCAATCCATTTGGATAAACCCTCGAAGAAAAAAGTGAAAAAATTGATTTTGACTAGGGTCGCCCCTAGTCCAAAATTGAAAAAGTATTTCCTTCTTGGTTTTTTGCTCAAAAAAATTTTAGGATGTTTTATTTGTATTTGTTTTAAGCACTTGAATATTTATGCAAAGTTTCAATCCATTTGGATAAACCCTCGAAGAAAAAAGTGACAAAATTGATTTTGACTAGGGTCGCCCCTAGTCCAAAATTGAAAATTGATTTTCTATGGTGTACTTTGGTCAAAAAAATTTTTTGGATGTTTTATTTCAATTGACATAATTCTGACATAAATCACATACCAATATTACTGTTTGTAATGCATAGCTTAAAAAAAATCGAAATCTAAAATTTCGACTACCCCATCTGAATTTTGTTCATACTCTTCACTGTGGAAACCAAAAAACAAATTCTTTATCTTAAAACACTTGACAAAATAGCGACATACTTCAGGATTAATTACTTTTTAATAATATTTTAACATTTACGTGAAAATGTGGTTCAAATAAGTGTGAAGTATGGCCGAGATTTGGACCAAAATCAGCTATACTGGTTCATAGTGTTCCCAAGGGAGACAAAATTCAAACTAAGTGTTTTTGTAGCTGACATAATTATGACATAAATTAGGTATAACTTTTGAACTGTGTCGATATGGGTCTCGGCCGTACTTCACGACCACCCTTCAAACTTATGCTGAGCAAATCTTGGTCATCTTATCCATAAGACTTTTGATGGTACGGTGTGAATATATCCGCATTGGGTTTCTACCCGATACACTAGTTTTTTTTTTAAGTTTGATATCGTACTTTAGAGTCATAGCATTAACAACGATCCCGAAAGTTAAATCTTTAAATTTATAATAATAAAATCAATTTATCGAGGAAATGTAATTTGAGCAAATGTTTAGCAGCTCTTCATATAAATTAATGAAAAGACTAAACATTAGAACAACCCAAAATCAAAAGTCTTATCACAGAAACTATTCAATTATGCTGCATAAATCAACTTTTAATTCAAAAATTACAAAGTCAATAAAAACAAGTCGAAGAAATTTACGTCAACAACTTTTGATTTGATCTGTAATTTTGAATATTTAATGCTCGTGTCTGCTTATGCCCATAAACATTTGATTATTCAGCCTTTAAGCTCATTAATTGCTATTTAATTTCACTTACCACAGTGCTGT